TATATATTATTACTTTTTTTGGTTGTAAAAAGTTAAGCACTCCTGGAATTTTTTTTTATCTTGTAACTTATTTTTGAATCTTTTATCATAAGAGATCAATGAGAAAGTATTCACAGCCATATAATTTATCTTTATCTGTTGAGTGCCTTTGAAAAGCTACTTATTACTTTAAAAGGCAAACCTACTTTACAATGCAAAAACAGTGTTATTATAGTATAAGTCCAGATACCTCCAAAAATCATAACAAAATGTTTCAAATTGTGATGAAGAAAAAAAAGAGTTAAATTATTTTAAGCTAGGAGTATGACAAAAAAAAAAAAAAAACACTATACAATAATTATATGTTATTATATATTGTATTAAAAAAGTTTTTTTTGAAAAGGGAAAGGTGTAAGATTGATTGCTTAGAGAACAATTTGACAAATCACATAAATTTCTGATAAAATTGACACAAATCAGACCCAATTTTATTGTATAAAATACACCAGTATTCAAAAGCCTCATTGACACTATTAGAGTAATTTCCGAAAATGGAATTCGTAAAATAATGTGAATTTACAATACAGACTCTTAACTTGAACATGTTCAAAAGTGATTGTGTGCATGTTGTAATATTATTACAGACATAGTGATAAAAAAAAATTTCTTATTACTGCAAACAACCCTCAAGATCACTTCAATTTTTCATTAAATCATTGTGAATTGAGTGTTGCATTAAATGGAAATAACTCAAATGCGTGATTCAAAATAAAAGATAAATGTCCATTTTTTTAAAATAAAATGTAAGTTCTGCAATAAAACTTAAATTGAAACTTTTTCCAAAGATTAATTTGCTGGGTGGTAATAAGAAGGCAATTAAAATACAATTGTAGGTAAAAATGATTTTGCTACTTTGTCAAGGCTTAGTCGCAGTACTGTTTAAATAAATTGAATTTACAAAAAAAGATTAATTTATCTACTTTCAGTAATAGTTAAAATCATTTTAAATTAAATTTATAAGTTTAATAATTAAAAAGGAATTAAAAATTTCATTAATATTTTAAATATAAAATCAAAATACTACTGAAAATCCGTTCTTGTAGGTAGATATGTATTATTTATGTGAATGCTTGAACTAGATTATAAATTGAATATATTAAATGACATCAACTAGTTTTTTTTAATTTAATTTATTTGGCTGTTTTAGAAAAGTGTTGCCTGATCCGAGGGATGGATCTTTATACATTTATAATCAAGCTATGCAGGATTTTAAGAAGATGCAGTTTAGCATTTCACAATTGATTTCTAAAGCTCCAGTGCGAGCTGGTGCTCTACTTTATGCAGGTAATGATGCAAAGAAATAAATGGAACACCATGAATAACTTTTGATATAATGATTATATTTTCATGTAAAAATTCAATCTTAATAGACTTCAAATATGCTAAATAATTAGTGCTGATGATATGACAAGTTACAAAATCAGATGAAAGCATATTTTCTCGATCGAATTTTTTAAATAAAGTCTTTCATTTAAAATTTAATTTCTTAAGAACTATTTGATTGATTTTGCTCAAATGTCTTATTTTGCGATTCAAAATTACATTCTATAAAAAAATGTAAGAAATTGTGTAATTAGACTGGCATGAAATAAAATTATAATAAATAATTATTAAAAACTATTTTTGCATGTAGTTATCTCTACATGAACCAACCTTTAATTATTTTTCAAAAGCTTCTAATTTTTCTGTTATTTTGATAATAAGTGAGAATTACTTTGTGAAATACGCGCATAAAATAGTATAATAAAGTAATTTAAAAATTAAGTATCAAATTCAGTTATTATGTAACATTACATATTTTGATAAATTTTGACTGTAGTACGTGAGTGCCCTTTTGAAACTCAAAATGTCCTTTTCTGTGAGGAAGCTCCCTGTCCCTTTTTTTAATTGCTAGGAAGAGCTCTGTTAGATAAAATTAAATCTTGCATGTTTGACATTAATTATTTCAAAAATTAAATTTGAATTGATCTCTGTTTTTTATATGATTTTAGTAAAATTTAAAAAGTAAATTGTTTAAAAGTTTTTAAAATTAGTGAAGTACTTTAATTAAAAGTAGTAGGTTCTGATTATTAAATAATCAGCCTAATTTTAATTTTAAACAATGTTAAATCATCTAATTGGCTCTTAGTAAGAAGCTGTTCCAATTGAGAAATCAATTAGTACTAAATATTTTAAAACAACTATTAGATTGATTTAATGAAACTACTGAACATTTTATAAAAAAATATTTTTTAGTTTAATATACACTACCGGTCAAAAGTTTAGACTCACTTTTATTTATTTCAAAATTTTCAAAAATAGTTAAATGTTTCTGACTTAAACATACAATTTATCAAACATAATCACAAACAAACATCTCAAAACTCATTTTTCTTTTAAAACTGTTCATTATTTTTTCATTTTGCATCTATTCCGTAGTTGATAATGAAATGGACGAAAGTGCATGCAAGTACCTATTCTAAAACAAGTGTAATTTATTTAATTTTTTTTATTAATTCTTAGTTTATAAACAATTTACTTTTCATCTTCTTTTTTGGTGCTAATTAATTATAAGTTATGTTCATGGCAAATTTTAAATATTGATATAATAGCCTTAATTAGCCGGAATAACTGGTATATATTAAAAACAAAAAAAATTTTTTCCTGCTATTTATTGAAGAAATATGGGTCAAAAACGAGAAATAAGTGTGGAAACACGTGCAGTTATTATTGCACTTCATGCAGAAGGCTATTTAAGTAGACAAATTGCCTCTAAAACTAATGTTTCTCAGACCACTGTTGTCAGAACTTTGCAAAGGAAGAAAGAAACTGGCCAAAATAAGAGCCGCCAGTGATCAGGAAGACCTAGAATAACGTCCAAACGTGAGGATAAGTTTATCCGCATTCAAAGTAAGCGGCAGCGGACTCGAACAGCACCAGAAATCCGTGAGGAATTGAATGCTACTTGGCAGAAAATTGTGACAGTATCTACTGTACAATGTCGACTTCGTGACTATTGTTTAAAGGGTTGTGTAGCTGCTAGAAAACCTCTTTTGAAAAGACAAAATAAAGTAAAACGACAGCAATAGCTAAAAAACATGTTACCTGGTCTTTAGAACTGTAGTCAAGAACTGTAGTAGTTTGTTTACGGACGAATCAAAATTTGAATTGTTTGGAAGCAAATGAGGGCAGTATGTTCGTCGTTTAGTTGGTGAACGTATGACAAGTCAATGTTTACTACCAACTGTGAGGCATGGTGGAGATTCAGTCATGATTTAGGGATGTTTTTCCGGTGATAAAGTTGGAGATCTTGTAAGAATAGAGTGTATTATGGATAAAAAATATTATCACAGAATATTGCAGCGTTACGCTTTTCCATGTGGACAGAGAATCGTTGGTCAAGGATTTGTTTTTCAGCAAGATAACAATCCAAAACATTCATCGAAATTGTGTAGAAACTACATTGCATCAAAAGAAAAGAAAAAAGTACTGAAATATATGGATTGGCTCTCTCAAACCTCTGATATTAATCCTATTGAGCTATTGTATGATAAACTCGATAGAAATGTTACAAAAATGAGATGTACCAATCAAAACAAACTTTAGGAATCTTTACTCAGTTGCTGGAACCAGATATCAGCTAGAACATTACAAAAACTAGTAGAAAGAATGCCAAAAATATGTGCTGCTGTGATTAAGACTAAAGGAGGATATTTCGAAGAATCCAAGATTGGGCGAAACTCATAAGTTACGCATAAAGTTATAGTTCATACCATATAAACGTACCTACATTTCTCAAAATAAAGTTCATTTAATGTAATTTTCAGTTTAAAAGAAGTCATTTTTAATTGTTATTTGTCTATTTTTAAAAATTCAGGAGTGAGTCTAAACTTTTGACCGGTAGTGTATATTTATTTGATAATTCTTTTGACTGATAATTTTATTTTATTACATAATCAATGTTGTTTTAGTTATCTTCATGGAAACAGATTTCTTAAAATATATATTGCTGCACGAGATTCAGGTTTTCTATCTCCCAAAGCTGATGTGACATGTCTAAACTTATTCGTTACTTAAATTATTTCAAAATTATTTAAAGTTGTTACATAAAATCTAATTTTAGGTAAAAAGATTGATTCATGGATTGCTATTAATCCTATAACTGGAGAAAAATTGAAAGATTTCAATTTTGGAAATACAGAAAAAAAGTGTCCTGCTCTTCATAAAGATACATTTTTTATTGGAAGAACAAGTATGATTCTTTATTTTTGCATATTTTTTCATGCTTAATGTATACATTATTTATTAATTGAGAAATAACTTACTTCACTTAGAGTGAAAGTCTAAAACAATCATAATTTTCTTACAAATTAGATTACTCAGAACTTTATCATTATGTGAACATTTATTTCTACCAACAAAGCCATTCATATTTATTTCATTTGTCATTTGATTGATGTTTTTGTGAATTATTTCTTGGTAAGTCTAAAAATAATTATATAGAAATATTTTTAAAAAATCACTTTTCAAAATCAGAAATATCTTTCATTTTTATGTACTAGATTGTAGTATCAAAACACAATTCAGTTTTTTTCTTTACGTTTTATGAAAAATTTTTTTCTGTCTTTATTATGTTATTAAGTTATCTTTTCATATCCTGATAATTAGGGAAAAGTTTTTCTATAATTTTAGTTTACTTCTGTCTGGCTTTTTCTCTATCGTAAACTATCAGAAAATCTGAACTCTTATTTTATTCACAATGTAGATAATAGAAAAAAACCCTCTTTAATTGAATAAATTTCTTTTGATTTCTCAAAAGCGAAAAAAGCTTCTAAATTTCTGTAAACTTTAACTGATTTCTTAAACTCCAATTGTTCTTCTTGGTCCAATTTTTCTTGAATATTTTTATGGATCATTTCTTGAAGTCCACTTAAAGAAATTGAAGTCGTTTGAATAATCCATTCCTAAAGAAATAAACATGTAGGATATGTGTGTATAGATAAGAATATTCATCCTTGAGATAGGAAAGAACTAGTTTAATTTAATGAGTTCAGAAGGAATTTTAGATTCAGGCTGAGCTGCATGGACCTACTAAAACCTACCCTGTTCTACTAAATGTAAACCTACTAAAACTGTTAAAACATAATAAAACAACATGTAAATAGGAAATTTATTCTAATAACTGGGCCTCAAAATGTGCTCAGTGGCAGATTGATCCTAATAATTTATATTTAATAAATAAAAGCAATATTTAATAAAAGCAAAATAATATATATTTACAAACAATGAATTAAAAAGTTTGTTACAGTTACATGGAGTTAAATTTTTCAGTTTACTTAAACTAAATGTCATTAAGCAATTATTAGAACTAATATAGAAGTTTTTTTTAGTTTCTGCCAGTTTTTGCAGGTTTTTACCGGTTATAACCAGTTTCTGCCGGCAAAAAGCCAACCCTGGTGACCAGTAGCCATAGGTCCTTTCCATTTAACAGCAACTTTTCAAACTTTTACACTGAGATTAAAGTGTATTATTATTTTTTAAGAAATTCAATCTAGAAATAATCTAAGATGTATAAAAAAGTTAATTCTACAATAAGAATAATAGAAATATGTAAAAAAAATTTAGTAAAGCATTCTAATTTTAAAAATATTTGGGGTGACAGAATACCTTTAAATAAAATATGTCAAGGGAATCTCTTTCCACACGAATTTTTCCACCACATATTGATGGATTCAGAAGGATCAAAATTTCGAAGGGAGATATTGGACCTTTTAATAAAAATTCTGTTATCTAGAGTTTCTGTCTCCATTTATGTACTTTTATCATAAATTTTTTTTTTAAAAAAAAATTAATAGGTGGTTCATTGAATTTAAGCTGCCACTTTTTTTTTGTCCACTTGCCACATGGCAAGTGGTTATTTTTAGGTCTATTTATTATTGTGCTAAATATTGAAAGAAACTTAATTAAACCCCATTATTAATTGATTGAAAAATTAGCTAATTTAAGCAAACATTTATATTTTTTGTAAATTACAGTGGAGCATCGTTTATACGACGATCACTTATACGACGTTTACATTTATACGACGTTTTAGTATGGTCCCAAATCATTCCTATTCATTTTAATGTAAAAATATATCGTTTATACGACGCACAGAATCAGTTATACGTCGGTTTTTAGATTTTGTTCACATTTAATTTTTTATTTTTTCTTGTGTATTTTAAAAAAGGGCGCAATTTGCCAACATGAATTATACAGAAAAGGGTGCTAACAAGAATGCTTGGATGACGACGGTAATTTTTACTAGATGACTGAAAAAACTAGACAATGTTATGAAGAGGCAAAAACGAAAAATTTTGCTATTCATTGACCAATGTCCAGCGCACCCATCGATACTAATTATTTTGGAAAATGTGAAAGCTCTCTTTTTTCCTGCAAATTGCACAAGTGCGCTTCAGCCATTAGATTTGGCCGCGATTAGAAATCTAAAATTGCATCATAGAAAGCAGTAAGTTCAACTCGCTATTCAAAGCATTGTAGAGACTAGAAGCAAGAAAATATAATTAAAGGTATCATACATTCAAATTGCTCACTGCAATTTTTCTTCTTTGGTTATTTGTTTGTTTTGCTTTGTCTAATTTAGAAATTTATGTAAATCAACACGTTAAACATTAAAATTAACTGAAAACAGAGTTAGTTTCAGTTTTAGAAGTAAAAATCGATTATACGACGTTATCGTTTATACGACGTTTTTCGGTGGTCCCTTCGGCGTCGTATAAACGATGCTCTACTGTATATTAATTTATTTACCAGGGAATATATATGAGTTATGATTTTTTGGAAATATTGATGTATATCTAAGCAGGATATAGAAAATTCTCTGAACAAACGTATTATTATTATTATTTTGATTGAAATTCCCTCTCAATTTTGCTTTGTTTTGCATAATAACTTAATATCTTTTTCAAAATATTTTTAGAATGTAAAGTTAAGATATAGTTAAAAACAACAATTCTATTTCACACAATTCTTGAATAAAGGAGCCTATGTGTTTAAAATAATAAAAATCGAAATATATTGGAGTAGTAATAATTTAAGAAATTATGACTAATAAATACAAAAATTAACATATAATGTTATTTAATTAAAAAACATTTTGCAAAGCGACACATCTTTTAACAATACAAAATTTTGTAGGAATTTTTTTGCCTTGTTTGCACAATAATACATATTCTGCTCTTCCCTGCATATAAGTAATAACAACAGATATTGAGAATTAAAAATTTTTGTTTAAGAGTTCAGACAATTATTGATGACCACTTTACTTTAGTTAGCCTAAAAAATCTGCCTAAATTGTGGTGTAAAAGTATTAAAATCAATATTTAGATTGATAATAATAAACAACTCATAGTTATTACCTGTAACCTGTAATATTAACTGAATAGTTATAACATAGCAAATAATATTGATCTTAAAGTATTAAGAGTGTTTTGTTATTAGAAAAATCAATTACCATAATTTCAATAATTTCAGCTACATTTTTGATGCATTATAAATAATATAAATCATAATTACAGTAGTATATAATGAAAGTAATATGTATGATTAACTATCCAATGAACTGTCCTTATTATTATTAAAAATTAACTGGGCCTTGGTTTTTGACAGTTTTCAACAGGTTTTTGACGTTAAAAATTTGATTCTTTTTTTTTACCATTAGGAAATTTTTTTTACCAACATGATTTTAAGAATTTGTTGCAACAATGTAAAGATAATTTTTTATCTTCTACTATTTAAAAATAAAAATAAAGTAAAAAAGTTTTATTTTTTATTTAAGTTCCTTTGTTGTCCATCCCTAATAAAAAATATTGCAGCCAACTAAAATTTATAGTTATTTGTGTTACATAGTTTTTTTCTATACTTGTTAGTTCTACAGATCTTTCATAAAGTATTTTATAAATAAAATTTAAAAAATTAAATGATTTTAAAATTTAAAATTCTCTCTAAATTATTCCGAAACTCAAAAATGGACGAATTACTGAACTAAAAGAATTTTGTTAGGTAGAATGCATTTTATCGATCAATATCATAATTATTTAAAAATATGATTATTTTTTCTGTTTTAGCTTATGAATTGTCTACTTATGATGTTGACTATGGCGCTCAGTTGTAAGTGGGATGATTTTTTGCTCTTTCTTACAACCTTTCAATAAAATTTTTTGAATTTCATATCAAATTTATTGCAACAATTTTCAATTTTTCAATAAACATCTTAGGAATTTTCACTTTGTAAAATGTTGTTAAATATTAGTTTTTTTAAATAAGAAAATTGATCAAATGAAAAACAAATTTAATATTTTTTATATTTTGTAAACTCCACTTTATTTTTTATTTACATAACTTTGTCAAAGTCTGGTGTGCTGCTCTTTTGTGTGTACAAATAAATCATAATAAATGTAATAATCTCATACATTTGTAATCAATTATTTGATTATACATAGTAAATAATAGAAAGTGAATAGTAGAAAGTAAGTAAAATAGCAAGTTTAAGTTAACAAAAATTTAAAGTAAATTAAGATATAAATAAAAAAGCTACAGTATATGTAATAAGTCTAAAAAATCAATTAATGATTCATTTAATGATTAAATGTTCAACTTAGAAATCAAAATTTAGTTTTGAAATGTAGCCTCATTCTTGTAATTTTGATCTTAACTGCAATTTTGAAGAGAAAAAAAAAGTGAATCAAACTTGTAACAAAAATCACTTTATGAAGGGCATTTTGAATTAAACTAGTTTATTTGAGAAGTAGATGTAAAAGCTAAAACTTTTTTTTTTAAATTTTTTTTTCTTCCTAAAAACTTTATTGTGTAAATATTTTGTTTTTATTTTGTATACATACATTATACATAATTTTGAGGTGTTTGCATATTTTTGTTAATATTATTTAACTTATCAATGTTATTGTCTAAGGTTATGTTTTGGTTGTATAAAAATGTTACAAATACTGACTTTTAATTAATTATATTTGACCATTTAAAATAACATCATGTTATGATAGTAAATAATTTGAAAATACACTTAATAAGAAAATGAAATATACAACAAGCAGTTTATTTTTATTCACATTGTCATATTCCATTAAACAAGTTCAGGGACTTGTTTTAAATTTGCAAAATTAGAAAAGTAGCAATTCGTAAGTACAATTGACAACTGTTGTTTCTGGTGGCATTACATACAAATAAGGCTAGCATTTCAATTTGTAATTGATAATATTTGGTGTTGATGATACAATTTGATTTTGTGCATGACTAATATTTCGATTTGTAATAGATAATTGATAACATTGTTGGTGATAAAATTTTGTTTTGTCCATGAGGAATATCATTTCAATTTGTAATTGATAATATTTGATGGTAGGGATACAATTTTATTTGGTGCACAATCAACATCATTTCAATTTGTAATTTATAGGTGATAACATTTGTTGTTAGGGATGCAATTTTAATTGGTGCATGATGAACATCATTTAAATTTACAATTTATAAAATTCCATGTGATAAAATCTGATTTTGTGCAGGAAGAATATCATTTGAATTTGTAACTGATAATTGATAACATTTGATGTTGATGATGATTTTGTGCATGATGAATATCGTTTCAATGTAATATATTTATTTGCATTTGATGTTAGTGATGCAGTTTTATTTCTTGCTTGCCGAATATCATTTTAATTTCTAAGTAATTATATTATTGTTAACTCTTGATGTTGGTACCTTCATTAATTATTAATTCATACATTATTAATTAATCATTCATTATTAATTAGGATTAATTCATTCACAAGATGAGACGACGTTCTTACTGCAAAACAATTTATATTTTATGGTACTTGTTTTGGTTAGCTGGATGCTAGTAAATTCAACTCTTTATTTTATTTTAGTTATTTTTTTTAAGGTTATTTTGTTTTGTGTTAAAAAATAATAAAAATGATAATATTATAATAAAAATATTTTAACACTCATTTTTGTTTCGACCAATAAATTTAGACTTGAATCCAATTCTATATTGGAATGGATGGTTTTGAAGAATATAGGAGTCTTATTGAATGCAGGGGAAAAAAGGGATTTATTAGTTGTTATAAACAAAAGGTTGTTGCATTTGGGAGACAGGTTAAATAGTGCAAAATGTGTCAATTTTTTGAATTTTTAATTTGAAACACAATTGAGTCTTACATTTTCTTTTTAAATAGGTGGAATGTATCTTATATAGATTATGCTGCTCACAGCTCTGCATCATTCGATTTAGAGTATGGTAAGTTTTGTTAACTTCATACGTTTGCGTGCTATATAATTTTTATAAAGTAGAAATGTGTTAAAACTGTTACTTTTAAGTAACAAGGTGCTGTTTTTAGCTATAGCTAGTATGATATTAATACTATACATTAAAGATTTGGAGCAATATATTGGTATATCACATATTCAAAGCGTTCATGAGAGCATCCTTTAAGCGTGTGTTTGATAAGAAATATTATAACTTCTATGTAGACAAGAAGATGTTTCAATGTATGTTGCTGGTACCTAGTGGAAATTCCTGAAAATTAAATAATACATATCAAGAAATATTACTGAGTTTGAGTTTAATGCAGAAATTCCATCTTTCAAAGAAGTGTTGCTTATTTATATTACCTTAAGCCATTCATGACATGTAAATATCCGTTACAAAACAGCAGATTTCTGCCTTATATTTTATAAATTGTTTTATTTTTAAACTTTTGATTAAACACTCTCATAATAGACAAAACAGCTTTCACAAATAAATTATTTTGATAATTTCATTTATTCAGAAAAAGAAAACAGATTCAGAATCATTATTTTTCTTTGAATGAACATTTTTGGTCCTTTGTCATTCCTATGTTGATGTTTTTATTCTCTATAGTGTGTCGGGTAGTTGCAGTTACTTACAGCAGAAATTAAAAATTTTAATAACTGCAAAATACATAGACTTGTTAATCCTTTTTATATAGTTAATATCATTTAAAACTTCTCAAATATAGATGAAAGTCATTAAAAGAAAAGAAAAACTTTTACTTTGAAAACAGAATCAAATCACAATTTTCATTTAGTATTTTATAACAGTTCTTTAGAAGTAACCATATCATTAATAGAACACTTATTTTTTACTAACAGATACATAATATCTGTTACAGAAAATACTAGTCGTCTTTGAAAATATGAAATGTTTTATAGGTATTACTCACTTTACTTCTTGTTCAAGTGGTAGGATGCTGTCTGTGGGTAAAAGAAGAGGTGAGCTTTAAAAAATATTTTTTATTGTTTCATTTGTTATTTATTGATATACAATAAAAGCTCGATTGTCCAAATGGCACAGCAATGGGCAAATTGCAGACATGTGTAAATTTTGTAAACCTGAGCTACACCAAGAAATGTGATTTTTAATCTTATGTTTTCTAGAGAAAATTGCCTCTCCATAATAAAAGCAAAAAAATTATCACAGTCGACGTTTATGAAAAAAATTAGAATAAAGGGGAAATACCAAAATAGTTGTCCTTATAAATTTTTTTTAAAAGTTAATTAAAGAGATAGCTGAAATATTGTACTCTTTCTAAATGCTTGTTTACAATTAATTGAAAATAAAGAGGACAGGGGTACATTTATTGAGCATGGGTCGTATTTTGCAATGTATTTTCTAATATAACAATTATTATTTAGAAAAAAAATTATAAATTACCAAAAATTCTGGTGAGTCGAATTTCAGGGCTTTTATTGTACTATGATTTTAGCTTTTTTTTCCCTCTTAATTATCAGTGAAGAAAAAAACTGAGGTATACTACAGTGGCTAAGTGATGTAAAAACTGAATTTACTTTCTTTATATGAAATGTTTCACTTAAAATTTTTTTGTTGAAAATTTGAAAAGAAAAAAAAAATTACCAAGAAAATATTAAATAAATGCTCATAAATATTTCACATTTGTTTCTTGCACTGAATTTATTGTGTTAACATCAGAGATTGATGTATACTTAATACAATTATCCTTTTTTTTTTGTTTTAAATGAATAATGAAACACCTTACAGGAGATATTATGTGGTATGGTGATTATGGTTCACCCATTGTTGGCCTGTATTTACTGGAACATGGTAGTTTGCAGAGGATTCCTTTTAATAGCATCTCTCTGGACACTCTGGAGCTCATCACTGAAATACAATCAGCATCACATTGGGATCTTCTATTCTCAAAATATACAAAAGGAACACTCATGTGTGTATCTTCCCTCTTTTGTATATCAGTTGAAAAATAATATTTCTTTTCTTTAATGTAAAAATTTTTTTAAAGAAAAATTTGTTTTATTTCATCAAATTTTTATGTGTTTTTACAATAACCAATCAAAGCTCTGATAAATGCATCAGTAATGCTTAATATTATAAAAAATAATATTATAACTTAAGTCTAACTAAAATAGATAAAATTATTATGTAATTATTACAAACTTATTTCTAAATAAAATAATCAACACTGTTCTCCCCAAAAATGTGTTAAAAGAAGACCCAATTTGTCAGATATTAAATAAAAAATAAAATAATTTCAGTCAGAGAAGGTTAGAAAAAAAATCTATCATTTTAAAATACTCTTAGAAAAACAAGTTTCTTTTCATAATAATTTACCTACATAATATTCTATTTGATAAAATTTGAAGTTTCTTGTATTCAAGTAAAAATTTAGCTAAATGTATACAGTGGAAATATGTTTATTAAATAGAAATTTATTTTGCTTATAGCTTACTATGGAAATATAATTTAAAAGTTTCATACCTTTCACTCTCAATTTTTTCTAAAGTCTATTTCAAACATCGAATTATAATTTAAGTGCATTCTCCTCTCACTATTTCTCTAGATAAAACCATCAATATCAATGATATTAAACTTTAAAAAAAAATCATGTCTTTAAGAGTATATTTATTTACTATATTAAAATACATTTTCAATGTAAATTGGTAATTTTTGAAAAAATTAATCAGCTGACTTGAAGTATTTTTTTTTTATTTTTTTGACTTCGGGTGACTTAAATTGCAGTTTAAAATATGCCAAATTTTTTTTAATTAAAAAAATCTTCTTAAATATGAATTTATTTTTGTATTCTGATATTACTTTATTGATGGGCTTATGAATTTTATCTCCTGAGAATTTCAAAACTTTTATGTTTTAAGCATGTATTTATTGTACATTCAATTTCTTAAAGAAATGTTTAACGTTTCCTGCCATTATATTATTGTTTTAATATATTCTAGGAATACTTTATACATTGGGGAGTTTAATCGTAGTTACTATGCTTTGACGTCCTTGGTTGACGATAGACAATCTATTATCATTGTGAGTATTGTCAAAGAACAGTTTTAGATTATTTATTTATAATTTTTGTTAATTTTTTTATTATCTTTTTTTTAAATATTAATTTGTTATTTTTTTTAATATTTTTGTTAGTCAATTTCAATTGTGTTATTTCTATTAATTGGTTAAAATATCATATAGTTTGTTGAAAGAAGTTTGTTCTAAAACAGCAGTTCTTAATTCTTATTCTTTTTTTTTTCATACAAAAAAATTATTGCTTTTTATGCTTTTTTATTTATCTGACATGTTTTATTAGTATGTTGAGAATTTTTTTTTACCCTACATTTTCAATTCAGTAGTTGATATTTCTTTGAACTTCTAGAGATTTAATTTGTGAGAAAAACTTTTGATTTCTTTCTAAAGCAAGGATTTTCTGGGAAATTTTGTGACTTACCTTAAATATTGACTTCAAAAACATTTACTATAATTTTTCTATATATCCTGAAAAGAAAGAAACTTATTGCTATGATGGTTTCCAAAAATTTTTGATGTGTATTCTTTTTACTCAATTTAAAAACTGTTGGCTTAAACAATTTTGCATTTTCTGCAGTTTTTTAAAAATATTTGAGGAGTCTTTCAACTTGAAATTGTTAGAGATGCAATCATTATTTGAGTAATCTTTTGCAAAGAAATTTTTTGCCACATATTATTCTCAGTAAAAACTTCAAAAGAGTCATTATTTTTGAAGTTATGAAGTTTCATGTATAAGAATGTAAGCTCAGTCTACTTTTTTTGAAGTTACTATTTTTAAACTTTGCTCTTTTTTACGATTTTTAAAATTTTTTGTTCTGTTGAAAAACACATAATGGCAATCATGTACTCTTATGTCTGAAAATAATAGCTGCTTAGAAATTATTTTAATTAATTAATTTTATAACTTTTATTCTTAACTAAGTGTTAATGATAGTTTTCATATTTTTTATTTACGTGATTTTACATTAATGTTTCATATTGTATTTTTCAGAAAATACATTTTGTAACACATAATTATTGGGTAACATAAATATTTTTGTTCTTTCTACCATAAATTTTCTTTATTATTTCTATTTTTGTTTTATATTAATCATGACATCATTAGCAGAGGGAATAGAGTCCCCGGGATGGAAGGATCAAGCTATGCGATTTGTAAAGGCAGTTTTGGGAGTAAGTGTTAGGAAACAGGGCAGCAAGTGGAGCTCCCTAATTTTAAATATGCGATGTATTTGAAGAGATAAATGTAAATGCAAAATTTAGCTAAACATTTTCATCTCTAAGCGAAAGTACATAGGTATTTTTACAATGTCTATCTTTCACTTATAGTTATAATTATATTCATTCATGTTCAATACCGCATTTAATAATATATATAAGAATCATAAAAAATCTTTCATACGATAAATAAAACTGATACTTAACGGCAAATCCTGCAAACATTTTGGCAACTTTTTAGTGCTATTGCCATCTTCTAAAATAAGCCTGAAAATTTCGCAATATGCAAAACTATTTTAAAGCATAAGTCACCAAATAGTTTCTACTGAAAAATGTATATATATATAATACACTGTTTTGTTCATTGATGAATGTTTCGGGTGACCACCATTTTGTTTTTGTTATTTGTGGAGGCAGTCTTAAAATGTTGCTGAAAAAAATAGTCAATTGCGAGATTTATCTGTCTAATCAGTATAAAAAATAACTTTTTCATTTCAAACAATCAGAAACGCCTCACATTCGAAAATAATAATAAAGAAATTGACAAGATTTATCTGCTTAAACAAAAAAATGCTGTGTATATATAAGGTGTATTCTCGATATCTCAGAGTTGACAGGACGCTAAAAAAATTTGAGATAGCAAGTTCAGAACTAAATATGCTCTAAAAAGTAGAAAAATATATTCTAAAATATTACTCTAAAATATATGAACATAAGAATAATTACTAATAAATATGTATGTAATGAAAACTGACTATAAGTCTAAATACAACTAATAAAATTTTATTTTTGAAAGTAAGACAAAAAAATAATTATGCATTAAACAGAAAAGTATTGGCTTACCAAAAACTCACTATATGATTTTTTCAAAACAATTCATTTTCTATTTTGAAAAAAATTCAACATAACGTTGACATAACAAGATTTTCAAGATATCGATTGATTTACATATTGCGATTCAAGATATCGAGTGATTTACTTTGCTAATGAAAAAATTTATGAAGCTTTGCTTTTGTACTCTAATAGTGATAAGATTTTTACAAAATCAAATTTTTCTGAGATTTTAACACATTGTGACAAGTTATTATTGTTTAATCTTACAGGTTTATAATGAAATTTGAAAAGTTAAGATAAATAAAATTATGCCCTAAAAATCTTTATTGTTAAAACTTAAATTATTTTTAAACTTTATAAAAAATAAAATTTAAATATATCCTGTGACCAAATAACTAAAATAAAAAGAATAATTGAAACAGTATTTTTGCAATCATCAGTAAATTTTAGAAATTTTATCGAAATGTTTGAAAATTTAAAAATGTTTTTTTAGCTTAGTTTTTTAAAAAATTTTTTTATCAGCAGATTAGATTGAAATTTCTATCAGTGCTGAAAATATTTGCATAATTTACGCATGCAAAGATGCACACATTAAGAGCTCACTTGTTGCACTTATTGTAAATCATTTCCCCTATACTGCCATGCAATAAAAAAAATTCATCTGACAAAAAATTCTAATTGAGATTTTTATATATTTGGCATTTTGATGTGATAAACAACATATTGTAAAAAAAAAAAAAATTTTTTTTGACCAAAGCATTTTTATCCCTTTTTTGAAATTCTATTACAGCATTCATAGCATTAAAAATGAAAGAAAAAAGTTGTCAAACTACTTTTCCCGAAATCTATCGGGAAGCTCTGACATTGTTTTTTTAAATTTTGTGGCAGTATAATCTAAAATTATTTTTTCCTTTTTTTTTAATACACGAAATTAAAGTAAAAGCCATTTTATTTATTTATTCTTAAATTTACGATTAAATTTAAGAATAAATACTGCACGGTGCCTGCTACCAGGATGATAGCTATACATGTACTCATTACAAAATAGCATAAAAACTGCTGCTAGTGTATAGAGATATATATTAAAACATATTTTGAATTACTTATAATAAAAAGCCCTAATGATTCGAAAATTCAAAAAATAATTCCAATTTTTAGAAATTTTTGTTGCAAGCACTGCATAAAAAAATTAAACGCTGTGTGAAATTCTTTTTCAAAATATACTGAAAGACAACTTGTACATGTTATTAAATAATGTCAGTCATATTTTCATTATTCACAGTTTGGAAAGAATGAGCCACTTCTTCTTGAAGGACCCAACAGTACAGTTATTATTCCGGCAGTTGGTGCAAATACATCCTACCGTGATCTTAGAAATGATTTGTTAGTGGGTAAGATTTGTACTTTTTTTTATCAACTGGGTGTAGAATGTTTTGTTTTAATAGTTTGTGATGGAAAATGGGGCAATTGCTATTATTTTGCCAGTGTTTGTAGAAGTTTAAAATAATTTTACTGACACATGTGATTTTAGAGCATTTTTACTGCTGAATTGGGTATTTGAGAAGGGGAATGACCAGCTTGTATGCTGAGATGAATACTGGTGTACTTAATATTTTAGAATTTGCTGTTAAATTTGCATTTTTGTATTTCTGTATTTTTTTTTAAATTTTATTTTAATTGAGTTTGTATTGGGTTTCTGATCTATTAGGTATGATATTCAAAGAAATAGAACTAATTAAAAAACAACAACTTTTAAACAAAATAATATTTTTACCCCTTTTTCTTTTTTGTTAATATCAGGAATAATGATATTTCATTAAATATACTAAAAATCACGTAATTTTTTATTGAAAATAAATTAAAGCTTTTCAACCATTTTCATGACATTGTGCATTTAAATCTTACAAATATGTTTTGACTTTAAGCTATTTATAATCTATAAATTTTGTTTTGAAAAAACAAAGATCATCTTCTGATAAAATTCTATAAATTTATGCTGGGAAAATAAAATCAATTGGAATTAAAAACTGAATTGAATTATATTTCCATGTTAATAGACCTTTTAATATAAGTTAGAAAGCCTCTATCCACACCATCTTGGATTTTAAGTTGATCTTTGATTTTTGTTTTTGTGCTTAACAAAATTTTGATGCTATAGTATTATTCTGCATCACAATGTCTTCTAAAAGAGGGGTTGCTTTATTAGATTAGGAGAATTGGAGTTTTTAGAACTTCTATTCAATTTTCTTTAAATCTGCAATTTGTGATTTTGAATTAGTAATTTAATACAACACGTTTGCCAGTTTATCTATTTTTTAAAATTTAATTTCATTGCAGTTTAAACTGATTGGTAAAGGCTTTGAAATTTACATGCGTCAAAAGATACTGTTCTATAAAATAAATATCCACCATAAATTTATTTGTTATGATTAAGTAACGAGGATTAAAAGCATATTTTCTCCTTGTCCCTACCACTTTGACAGTTGAGTTTGGTCAAGGCTAGAAATCTCTTTTAATGAATCAAACAAAGATGTTACTTTCCTAAATTGTTGAAAGTATTGAAATTATTCTTAGATTCAAAATGCAGTCATCAGACTTCTGTTCATGGGTTTTGACAGATAAATTAACATCTAACAAAACTCTTAACTGTCATAAAATGGAAAGTTTTATTTATTTAGTATAGAAGAATACCAATATAATTTTTTTACTAGTTTTTGGATTTAAAGGGAAGTGTAATTGTGTTTTTCTTTTATGTGTTCATTTCTAGAAATTTCTTTAGCTGATTGATTACAAAAATAATAATGATAATAATAGCAACAGGAATTATGGTTTGGCTAAGTTTAATTATTGGTTTGTTTGTTGATAATATGTAAATAATATGTAAATTATAATTTTGTATAGTTTTGCTAATAGCTAAAGATTGCTTTGCTAAAGCTTAAGAAAGCTTTGGCTTAAAGAAAGCTTTGCTAAAGTTAACAGCTAGACAAATGAGCTTAGATGGCTGTATACTCTAGGGAAGTTGAAAATTACCCATAAAGATAGCATGTCTTTTACGTCTGCTTGCATATAGGTTTTAGATTCTGGCTAAATTTTCAAAAAAAAAAAAAAAGAAAAAGCATACTCTTGGCTCATATACTAATGGGCTTATATAATTAGAAATATATGAAATGTCAAATAAATAAAACAGTTCAAACAAATTAATGGTTTTATAACATACTTATTGATAAAAACAAACTTTTAACTTTTTTAAAAAATAAGTTTTTATTTTGAAAGTTTGTAAAAATTTTATACTATTATATTCTGATAAAAATAAAATATGCTTCCAGATTACTAAAATGTAGATCTTGGTCCATAGTTTAAGAAATTCTTTTTATACCTGATCTTGAGTTACTGTAAGTTGTGTATGTATAATCTTGTAGAAGCTTGTTCTTTTGCTATTCTTGACTTTTTTAATATTAGGCCTAATCTTGAATTCTAACGACATTAGAAATTTTGCATGATGATATTGTTAAAAATGAATTTGTCTAGATTTTGTACTTTCCAATTTTATCTTTTGAAAAAGATATGTTTCAAAGTGGCAACTTAGAACAGGCAGCATTCTGCCAAAGATAAGTGGTATTTATTTTGATTCAATCAAATTCTTCACCTCCTGGTAGATTGAATTTTTCACATAAGCTATACAGTTTCGTTAAATTTTGAATTTTGCAGAATGCCCTAATAAGCTGACTTCTGTGTTGATTGACTTTTCACTTTAGAAAAATATGTCATTGCCGGAAGACAATAGTTCAGAAACTAAACTAGTGTCTCAAATTTCTCCTTTTAGGAAAGAAAAAATTACCATTATTATGAAAAATGACATGGAATGTGTTGTAGTTGTTGAATCTCATATTTTGGATACTTTTCAATATTTGGTAATCAGGTTAACAGTCCACTAAAAAATGATCAATATTCTATTCTAAAAAGTAGCTTTATAAAAAACCTGAGAGTGATACTTCTAAATTATTAAATTTACTTCAAGGTATTGAACTTAGTGACCAGTATCTAACTTTAGTATTAAAACAAATGTGAGATTTAGTGAAAAAACATTTTAGTGATGATTTGTTAAAATCACTGAAAACAGAAAGATTTAAAGTGCAAATTTTAATGAGATTCAAACAAACACATTCGTAACACTAATGTGCAAAATTCCAGATGCTATGAGAGTTGTAGATACGGTTTAAAAATAAAAAAGAGAAGAAAAGCTAAAGAGCTGTTTTAAAAAAAGAATTTTATTTTATAATAATTTTACTTTTTTATCATATTTTCATCCAAATTTGCTTAAATCGGATTATTGAGGACATTCATTTATCAGAAATGAAGCATTTCCCCACTATCCTGGTTGATAAAGAGTTCTGTATCAGCAAAATTTAAGAATGTCCACATGCGCCTATGTTTGTGTAACTTTGCATTGAGGTTTGACTGTACTTGAACCTAGTTCTACCACAAGCCTAATAACTATAATAATATTGTTACACTTACTGTAAAAATGGGTTTAGTTTATTTATCTGTTATATATTAGCATTTTTATTGTTTATCAAATAAGCAATCAACAAAATTTACAATACATAAAATTACTTATCGTTTTTCAGTCATTGATAGGTTTTTAATTAATTATTTTAGTCACAAATTGATCTGTTTTCTATAACTGTGTCTTGCTAATGGTAAAATAAAAACCATTCTTATAAATGTTTGAAATATTTATCCTAACTTTAAATGTGTGTCAAAAATATAACAATGTGTATCAAAAATACACGATTTCAAAGATAAGTATTTTGTTGTGTATTATAATAAAGTTTAAAAACCAGGCAGCCATTTCAGAACTATTCACAAATACGGTCATTAGTATTGAGTCACCAGTTTTGCGGCATTTTTCAATCTGTGTCAGGACGCCGATTAAGGTACTTAATTCTAGTATCAAAACTACTGTTTTGCTGTTTTTTGATAACTATTTCAGTGTATAATCTGTTTTTTTGTTTACTTGTAAATACGCTTTTACTTTAAATCACTGCTTTTAAATTTGGTTTCTTCAGAATTAATTGTTACTCTACTAACATCCTTTTCTTTGATTTGTTACATAGGACACTACAGAATTCCAGAAAAAGATGTTTCAAATTATGCACCCTTACTTCAGATTTCTGCTGAACACAATATTCCAACATCTCCTTCATCCAATGAAGAAAACAGTCTTTTACCAACTAAAAATTTCACTACGGCCCCCTACTGTATGATGGATGGCTCTTTACCCTACTGTGAAATTAATAATGATTCTAAAATAGTTAAAACTCCTGTTAGTAGATATCAAGACCAGTTCTGGCCTGTTATCTTGTTGATTATCTTGGTAGTGCTGGGTGCTATTATTTTTGGTGTTTTGTACTCCAGGGTAAGTTTTGAATAAATACATTGCTATTAAAAAGGTCTAATACAGTAGAGCACTACTTATCAGGACACTGATTTACAAAATTTTTCAATTAACTTGATTGTGAAATTTTTTGTTGAATTTTCCAGAATTTTTTTTTATTTACAAAATTCGTCATTTATATTCAGATTTTTTGAATGTGTCAAAAAATTATTTCTTTTGTCCCTTGATATTTTTTTAATATGTTTCGTTGTTTATTGAAATCGTACAAAGGTTTTGTACACAAGATGTTCTCAAACATGTCTGAAAAGAGATAGGATAGTGTTACCTAAAAAAAAATGATATAGTAAAAAGAATAAACAAAGCCGCGTAGCACTTGAATGTGGAATTGTTTAATCATCTCTGGGAAATACACTCCTCAAAAGTGAATTTGCAACACCAAGAAATAATGCACGTAGCGTCATGCAAATTTCAGGAGCGATAGTAGTGAGATGGATATGCAAATGATTAAATTTGCGCACACATCTGATCACGTGGTACGCATATTCAGGCTATAAAGGCCAGCAACTTTCCCTTCTCATAAACGGCATCTGAGGTTTTGCGTAGCATTTGCGACTTTCGAAAAAGCGTAGAAAATGCCTCTCAGACGTCGGCGAGCTCCAATACCATCAGTTAACGACCGGGGAACGCGACCGTATTATCGAACTCCATGAACTTGGTTTGTCGCTGCACGCAATAGCAACTCGTGTTGGGCACAACGTGAATACCATCCAACGTTGTGTCACACGATGGATTCAGGAAGGTCTACGTGCACGCCGAAGAGGAAGTGGTACGCACAGGTGCAGGTCAGAGCGCACAGATCGGCGTATCCGCCAGTTGACTATTTGAGACCCTTTCTCCACGGCACGTGCCATCTGAAGCCGGTTGCCTTCAGGAGCAGGTGGATCTGTGTCCACCCAAACCATACACAACAGATTGCATGAAGTACAGTTAGGTGCACGGGTACCAGCAACAGGGGTACCGTCGCTCGCTTTACACAGGGCTAGACGCCTGGCGTGGTGTCATCGTACCTAGACCATCCAATCGAATAGAGTATTGTTCACGGATGAATCTCGTTTCTGTCTGTGGAGAAATGACGGCTGTCGCCGGGTATGGTGGCGACCCGGAGAATGCTACGAACCAGTCCATAAGGCCGATCGTCACAACGGTCCTACATCGGGCATCATGGTTTGAGGTGGCATAATGTTTCATCGCAGAACGCCCCTGGTACACATTCACGCCAGTTTGACAGCGGACCGCTACGTCGCACTAAAATGTCACTTAGCTGGTTCTTCCACTAAACTCTTCAATTCAAAAAGTTCTTATTCAATTTGAAACAACATTTAAAAGTACCCATCTTAATTAAAAATAATATTTACTAAGTCATATTTTTTCTAATTTTCTATAATTGGCGTTAATGTTTTGCAAATTTCTAAATTGTTTCCTTGCAGAAATGGAATAATTTATGTTTAAAAAAAAGCCAAAAGGATAATGTTTTTCTTATTCCTTGATCTTGGACAATGTCCCATTTTATTTCCTTGATTTTTTGTAGTGTCTATTGAGAAACATGTAATTTAGTGCTGGCTTGATGAAAGATGGTGCTTTTTTGATTGACCAAATTTTAGCATATAGAGTTTGTTACCTTTAAAACTTCTCTACAGTACATTGTTAGCCACATGAAGAAAGCTCATAAAAATAAATTTTTCAGCAATCCTACATGAATGCTTTCATTGCATGCTATTCATATTAAGCATGTGTCAACCAATTATGCTATTAAATTTTTTTTTGTTGCAGCAACCAACTTCTATCTCAACTAACATTGTACTCTGGCAAAATTAATTTTTATTGGTTACTAGAGCTCTTAGTTAAAGTTCTAAGTAGTCTGAAAGTAAATTTTAGTATAGTGCATATTTAGACTGCAATAAGGTGTGTATTTATATATATATATATATAACACATGGATCAATAAGTCCCGAGACTAACAATGAAAACAACATTTTTTTTTGCAAAATTTTTTTTTATTCATCAACATAATCCAACGCTTCCAATTTTTCAATACCATGTTTATAAACAAAAATTATCTTTCGCTTCAAAATAAGCTTCAGTTTCAGCGATGACCTCCTCATTTGAGCCAAATCTTTTTCCCTGGAGCACTTTTTTAAGATCAGCAAAGAGCCAGTAGTCACTGGGGGCTAAATCTGGCGAGTATGGGGGGTGGGGAAGCAGATCAAAGCCCAATTCGTTCAATTTTGCCATTGTTTATGAGAAGGGCAAAATTGAACGATTGCTTGTGGCAGGGTGCATTGTCTTGGTGAAAAAGGATTTTTTTTCTCTGCATGTGCGGTTGTTTGTTTGCGATTTCCTCCTTCAAACGCACCAGCAAGTCAATATAATAATCACTGTTGATCGATTTACCTTTTTCGAGGTAGTCAATGAAAATCACGCCATGCGTATCCCAAAAAAACTGACGCCATGACTTAGCCAGCTGACTGCTGCGTTTTCGGACGCCTCGGACGGCTTTCGCCACTCAGATGACTGCCGCTTCGACTCTGGAGTGTAGTGATGTAACCATGTTTCGTCCATGGTCACGTAACGATAAACAGCTTTCTGAATCATCGACTCGTTGCTGTTTTTGTTCCATCGAAAGCAATCGCGGCACCCACTTGGAAAAAACCTTTTTCATACTAAATTTTTCATGAAGGATAGTAAATACACTTCCATATGATATCTGTGTCATCTCAGCAATCTCACGGAGCTTCACTTTACGATCTTTCATTATAATTTTTGTCACTTCACTCACATTTTCCGGTGTAACGGCTTCCACAGGTCTACCCGAGCGTTCCGCGTCATTTGTGTCGGTACGACCACGTTTAAACTCGGCAAACCACCGACAAATCGTTGCTTTTAATGGACAAGAGTCCGGGTAACATTTGTCAATCCATTGTTTCGCTTGCACGGTGTTTTTACCCATTAAAAAACAATGTTTTATCAGAACGCGAAACTCTGTTTTTTCCATTTTTTAAACAAACTACAAAACGACTTTACTCCAACCTCGATAACTCAGCTGTTTCTGGTCCGATCGACTTCAAATTTTGACACGTTTCAAGCAAAGGTTAGTACTCTAGAAAGACCTGGTTACTGGTTTACTACGAACGCCATCTCTGGGTTAGTCTCGGAACTTATTGATCCATGTGTTATATATATATATATATATACATTATTTTTCTTTCCTTCCTCTATTTTCATTGTTCTTGCAATGAAAAAAGAGGAAGAAAAGAAAAATAATGATAAAAATAACAAAAAACCAGAAGTAAAAAAAAATTTAAATTTTTTAAAAAAACCGGAAAATAAACGATGTGATCTTTTCATCAGCTCACATGATTATATCCGCAAAAAAGAGTGCTTTCTAATATTGCATCAATATAGCCAGAGCAAAATATATCAGTACAATAGTGTGAGAAGCACTCAAAAAATTACAGCAAATGAAATAGAACACAATAAGTAAAAAAATCTCGTAAAAACAGAAAATAAAATGAAATATAAAGAAAAAACAGAATAAAACATGAAACGAAAACTATAAAGCGAGTAGCAAATTTAAATGTACTTACATGAACGGGGCATTTTTCAAGAATGATTTAAAATATTTTCGTAACAAGATTGCAAAATATGAAAACAAAAGTCTAACTAGGGGAGTTTCATATTAAAGTGCGTTTGATTTGTTAGTTACCAAGTATGGGCCCAAAAATGGATGAGCGCAAGGTAATATTATACTGGATATTTTAAAGAAGTTGACAATAAATAATTTTAGAAAATAAATATTTATTTAAGAAATATATATATATATATATATATGTAACGTAAAAAGCAAATGCTTTCTCACACTTTTAGAAGCCACATCCTGTTCTTAAATCTATTTTTGACTCAACTATGCATTAATTAAAAGCAGGACATTTTCCCCTTTAATCTTCGTGGGAATCACTCGACCTATTTCATAAACTTCATAAACCAACAGTAATTTCTAAGATTTCCCGGCCCAAGACCTGTTTTAATCCTTCCACTCGGCAATGACGTTATATGTATGTAAAATAGAAAGGAGAAAGAAACATGAATTGCCTGTTTTCCACATTATTTTAGCCACGGATTTGCCCGAAATGGATTTGCACATGGAAAAATTATATAAATCAACAACGAAATTTTTTAGTAAATATATCCACAATAATATACGATTAACTCAATGATTTTATATAGAATTTTATTACTTTAAATGGGTATCCATTGTTTTTTTTAAATCAAATTTTGAAAGAGTTTATCTATTTGTTTTTTGGATAAATAAATATTGCTACATATTCTTTTAATTTTGTTCATTTGATTAAAAGTGGTATTTAAATAGATGTTCCTAGAAACATTAGAATTCCAAGTAATTAGTTTATTTATATTAAAATTAAAATAATTTCTTTTATTGTATAAATCTGCAAAGCAGATATTTTCTTTTATAATACCCAAATTCAAAAAATTGAAATTAATATTATCATCATGATTACGAAGCAAGATTAATTCCTCGGGGTAAATATTATTTAATAAAATAGTATAATCTTGAAAATTAAAGATAATTAAATCATCAATATATCTAAAAACAAATTTAATACTAAGAGAATAATTTTTTTCATAATAATGCAAAAATAAGTTAGCTAAGAGAGACGAATAATTAGATCCTTGTGGTATTCCATCAATATGAAGAAAAATATCCTTTCCATTGTAAAGATAATTACTAAAAAGACAAAAATTAATCAGAATTTCCCAATAATCAAGATTGTAACAAAGGATATTTTTAAACCATAGTAATAATTCAAAAGGACGTCTTTTTAGTTTAGAAAGGGGAAAGCTATTGAAAAGATCCTGGAAATCAAAAGTAGCAATAGAATTAATTTTATTATGTTTAATGAATTCTAAAATCGGTTGATTATTAGTGATAATCCAAGAGAAACCTTCTTTAGAAATATTGTTAATAATTTTATTTAGGTAGTTAGAGAAAATGGTGCCAGGTTTAGTTAGATAAGTATTAGATCCACATGTGATAGTTCTAAATTTTACCGGAATTTTATGAAATTTAGGACTGATAATTAAGTAAGGAAATTGTATATTGTTAATTTTAATTTTTAATCTCTTATATAAAGCTAAAATTTTTTTAATTACAATAGTATTATTTAAATTACTAAGTTTAAAATTTTTACAATTTTTTAATTCCGTATTTAAAAGTTCAGCATAGAATTTATTACAGAAGATTGCATAATTATTGTTAGCTTTGTGTATGGGAGTAATTACAAAATTCTTTTGAAGAACAATTTTGGAAAAATTTGTTGAATTGTTACTGTTATTTAAATTATCCTTATTATTGAAAACAAAGTTTTTAAAGTAATAATAAACACCCCATTTCCATTCTGTTAGCATACCTAATGGTAAAGAGAATCTATTTGATATCTTTAAACAAAAACTATTGAGATCATTAAGAAAGTATTTTAGAATTTTATTGATTGATATATGGTAAATGGGTCTAAATTTTGTGCCTTTTATCATTAAATTCTTAAGTTCTAAGTTTTCAGTAATATCTAAATTACCAGTAATAATATGTTTATGATGTTTATCAACAAAATAAAAATATTTCACTTCCTCACAGTGACATTCATAATAGGATATATTAATCCTCCCTAAATTTTTGCTTATATCATTATAATTAAATATAGTTCTACAAAGAGACTTATTATATTTAAAGCTTTTAATTGTTCTTCGTGTCTTTTTTGTTTTTATTTATTATGCTATATATATATACTTTTTCTTTCACTGTTTTTTAAAACTATTTTNTTGGAATCTTATTCATCAGAGTTCATAGCGGTACCTTCACAAATTCAACTTTAGGAAAAACGGTAGTTTCACAATATACTTCTTCTTAAAATTTTATTTTTGCATCCCTTAAGAAACGATAAATCCATATTTTTATGTTGATTTTTTAAAATAATTTTTAATTTTTCACAAATTATGTCTAAATTTTCACAAATTAGGTACCACAAATAGAAAACCTAGACAGACCCCTGTATATATATTATGTGCATTTATGTATATTTTTTCAGTCTGACCTTGCTATAATAAACCCAAGATATAGTGAAGACTTGGCTGTTTAGAATCTTTTTAGTGATTATTTAATCAATCTCATTTCATGCCCTTATAATTTACAGCTAAAAAATTGGTAGTTTGTTTAGGGTAGAGTTAAATTTCCTTTTTGCAGTTATTTAAATAAATTTTACACAGTTTTTACTCAGTGTCATATGTTCACTGCAATCACTAACCAGTAATCAAAAATTATTCTTTTTCTATTATCTATAAATCCTATCAATTGACTCGCTCTTCTAATTTTAGGCAAAAAATGCACAGGCCATTCTGCAGGAATCTGGTAAGTATGAGATTTATTATAAAAGCAATTCTTTTTTTATACAAAATTTTTTATTCATTTTCCTTTTTTTTTAGGTTTGTCTAATGATCATGTGGAGGTTGGTAAAATATCTTTTAATCCTGAAGATATTCTTGGACACGGTTCTAATGGAACATTTGTTTACAAGTTAGTATTCAATCTTTTTTTTAATTTTATTTTTTACTATATTTTTTGGCCTAATATCAAAATGAGTTTGTAAGTTATCAGTTTATAAGTTTAATTATAACTGCAATGAACAAAATGAAATTAATTTGGTTTTTATGAAAAGGTTAAATTTATTGATGTATGTTATTAACTATAAATTATATTTTTATTAATCATAAATTTTGTTAATTATGTATATTAATTATGTGCTCTTTAGTTTGCCAACCATCACAGCGACCCTTTCATTATAACGCATACTACCAGAATTTCAGTACTCTTTTCCATGGCAGCAGTATTACATGTTAAAAACCTTTGCACTTGACACGGTTGCCACAGACTACTAAAAGGCGACTATTTGCTACTATTTTCGGCCTGAGGCGACTATGGCAACTTTTTTTGCCTGAAAATGCTAAAAAAGCAACTATTTTCAGGAATAGGCGACTATTGGGAGACTTTTTTACTCTTAGCGAAGTTTTTTCGCAAAAATAAACTTTAACTTTTCAGAACATTAATAAAAGAAAGCAAATTTTTATGCCATCATTTGTGTCCAAAATGCCACAAATTTAAATTTCCATTAGATTTAATAAAGTACTTGTCATTTTTTCTATCCGAGGGGCAGTTTTGTTATTTTTAATTGTTTTTTCCTTCTATTAACATTCATATTTTATTGTAATTCGACTTTTATTTAGGTACCTATTTTCTAATATGTATACCTTTTATATTTATACAAAACTTGTTTTTAATTGGAGCATAGTTAGGACTAGGCGATAAATCAATGTAATATCGAAATTGCGAAATATCGATTGAATGACGAAGAGCGAATTGAATCAGAACTCCCAGTTTCGTGCGAGGATCAGCGTTGTAATATGCATATTTTCTTCAATCATGCATGGTTTCATTATGCAATGCATAGTTTCTTTATGTCCATTTTTGTCTTTGGAATTTTGCGTTTTTTGAAGATTATTTTCGATGGGGCATAAGTCATTTTGCGATCGTTGTGCATTTTATTTCGTCGGAAATAATTGTCGGGTTTCCTGTATATTATTATCAGTGAGACTTTTGCTACTTGGCGATCGTTTCGTTCTGCATTATTTCATACCGTTTTTTTTCCTGTTCGGATTTAACGATTCTTGTCAATTATTTTGAGTAGACCTACTGTTACTTTGCGATTGCTGCACAGTCGCTGTTATCTTAAATTTTCGTTATGAACTCAATAGATGAATGAAAAGAAAAAATATATATAAAAAAAAAGATTCTTCATTGATTTTTTTCAATTATTGTTTTTCATTTTATATTTATTAAATGTAGGTAAGTATAATAATTTGATTATTTTTAAACCAAAAAATATTCAGTTGTTTTTAATTGTAAAAAAAATTAAAACAGAGCTTACTTTTATTTGATTTTTATTTTTGAGAAAATGAAAAAGTTTTCAAAAACATTTAGCTATTATAGTTAAAACAAATAATTTTTAAAAAATTAAATAAAGAGTTTAGTAATTTTTTGACGCTTTTTAATAATTTAACATCAGTACTTAAAGTATTTTTTTTTAAATTTTTGTTATAATTCTTTCAATACTTGTTTGTTTTATAATTTGTTAGATAGTCAGTATGATTTTTAAACAAATAAATCTTTCTTCGATTTTATTTTCCAAAGAGAAAATAATAATAAATAAGTAAAAATATTTTTACATTTATTAAGTACAGAATTTGATCATTAGTTAATACTACTTTTTATTACTTTAAATAATTAAATGAAAAAGGGTGTAATGATGTTTCAAAAGCATGGTTTTTTTCTCAACAAATAATTAAAAAAAAATTGTTAAAGTGAACTTTGGTTTGTTTTCCACTGTTTTTTTTCCGTTTAATTTTTAATTCATGTATGTAAAATATTTTGTTACAGTGTTATTATTTTTAAACTAATAAGTCTTAAATCATTTTTAATTTAAGAAAAATGAAATAAAGCTTGGGTTTGCTTTTACTTTGATTTCTTTATCATTTTAATTGAAAAATTAAGCAACGATATTGATGCCACAGTAGAATATGTTTAGAATTAATATTTTCTTTTATAATAGATTTATTCCTTTTTGTTTGTTTTTGATTGATTTAAAGATTTCCCATAGGTAATTTTTGAACATATGCTGAATCCCGATACATCGCTACATCGATGTATCACGATTTAAAATTTCTGACATCACCCAGTCCTAATCATAGTATTTGATAATTAAGCTATAATTTTAGTTATTTGGCTACTATTTTTGATACATTTTTGTTCCTGTTCAGGCAGTTTTGGGTGACTATTTTCATGCTTGAGGCTACTAAAAGCAACTATTTTTGTTCAATTTTTACTGTGGCAATCCTGACTTGACCATTCATTCCAATATAGGGAACCAAATTTAATTAAATTTTTTCCCTGTGATAATCACTTTGGAAATAAGTGTATAATTCTTTTACATTTTAAAACAAAATGCTTTGTTTGGCAGTGAGTCATTTATTTGATTTAGCAAAAAATTTAAAGAAAATGTTTAAGCTACTATTTCTTATGATGCTTTGGTACTTTTAATGTGAAACTTTTCAATTTTCCTTTGAAAGAATGTAGAAGATAGGAACTTTTATATTCTTATCCGTGGTGGTTATGAACTGTAAGTGAAATATGGATTACTTCATGTTGATGACTAAATTTGTTTATTGTTCTTTTAGGTAGAAATATCTGTTTTATTTTATTTATGAGTAAATATTTTTGGTATTTTTATTTTGGGTACCTATGTTATAATCAACTCTTATTATAATGTCCATTTTTGTTTAAATCAAAGAGGTCATTATATTGAGCATCGACTGTATTTGATGTGCTTACACTTTTCTCCTCTTATGTTAATACTACATTTACATCTTTAGAGAAAAATATTGAACTTAACTTGAAAATTCTACTCGAGTTACAAAATAGTACCCTATATTTTCAAATATAAGCCCAGTGGTCATGAACCGAGAGTATGTTTTATTTATGAAAATTTAATTAAAATTCAAAACTCATATAAGCTGAAATAAAATGAATAAGACTAATCATCTTTGTGGGTAACTTCCTCAACTTTTTTTTTGCTCTGCCCTTCCAACATAGTTTCTTTGTTTGTTGTGATTTTTTTTTTTGTATTATTTTCAATCACCCAAACATTGATGATTTAAGAGATATTTTTACCCTATTGTCTTTTTTAAGTGTTTCCTTTTCAATAGTTTTATTTTCAACTGTTCTTAATGTCTGTATTGTTTCAAGGTGTATAGCAATCTACATTTACTACATGACCAGCGGAAAAGTGTTCATGTTTGAAATGTTTTTTTTGTGAAAATTTGCAAAGTTAACAGATCCGATTATAAGAACAACCTCCCCTCTTAAGCTTATCCAATAATTCTTGTCCTATGCTCAGAAATATAGAGTATTCTATAATAAATACTCTAAAGCATAGCTTTGTATGGTAGAAAGTTTTGGATTGAAGAGAATCTCTTTCTAATGCAAAATTAAGTTTATGTATATGTAATAGAGAACTGTAGTAATAAATTTATTTTTTTATACAAATCTTATAATTGATTACTTTCATGTGTAGAAATGTCGGCTGTTGTTATGTAGTAGTAAATTACAACTACCTTAAAATTTAGTATAATCTATCCATTAGAGCTTATTATTAATTTATTATTTTAGAGGCACATTTGAAAATCGTTCTGTAGCTGTCAAGCGGATCCTTCCTGATTATTTTAATTTTGCCAGCCGGGAAGTCGACATTCTGAGGGAATCAGATGAGCATCCCAATGTTATTCGATACTTTTGCATGGTATGTTCGATCATTTTGTTTTGAGTATTGTCACCTGCATTTCTATAATTTTACTTTTGTAAGTTTAAATTTAAAAATATGAGTTTTTCAATGTTTTAAAACAATAAACTCAAAATTCCTATAAGTCAATAAGAACCTACGCAGCGAACCTGCATTTATTGGGAGTTGTCCATGAAGCTTGAAAAATTATTCTAACTTTTGTTCCACTTGTGCAGATATTTTAAACGAAATCAAATTTTGTATGTACATAAAAATCTTTTTAAATATTTCTTTTTTTAAAAATTGTTTTCTATATTTACAATTTCAGTTATAAAAATTGTGATGCAGAAATGCTTTTTCATATAAAAGTATTATCCAGATTTTTGTAAAAATAATTTTTAAAAAATCTGGCAAATTAAAAGATTTCTCTTTTTATTATGATTTAGAACTTACATTTTTTCAATTTTATTTCTATTTTGTGTTATATTTTTTTAAGAAAAAAGATTTTAGAAATAAAAAATGGCAAAAAAAATTTAATGAGAATATTTCTAAGAAATATTTAGTGCATCTTTTAAATTAATTTTATTGTTTTTTCTTATTAATATCCACTTTCTATAAGGCAAATAAGCATGTTAAGCATTTTAAATGAAATAATTAAATGGATATTTTTTTCTCAAAATTACATCTACTAGTCTTTTCCCTGTTTATTTTCGCATGTAAATTTTTTCATTGTTTAAGTGTTCAATTCTTGATTCACTGAATTATAATTTTTTTTGGAAGGTTGTCAATTTTCTTAAAAAAAAAAGTTTTCATACATAATAACGTTTGAATTCAATTTTCTGTTTTGACATATTTAATGCTTTGTCAATTTTGTAAACAGACACATTTTGGTGAATGTTTCTAGGAAAAACTGGTTTTGCAATGTGTAAAGTAAGACTGCCTGCAAAAATGTCACTTTCTAAATGCATGGTTACTAGAGGGCCAAAGCAAAATTATTGTATATCTTAATTATTACCTACTTTTTTCCTCTGCAAGATCTAATATTCCATCATAATAGAATTTGTATGTAGATAATGTTAATGTTTTCATAATATCAGTTATAATGAAATATTCAATGTTGTCATTGTAGCATATTGAGAGAGCTAGAAATATAAAGAATTTAGTCACTGCTCACTTGGGCCAGTGACTAGTTTCTGCACACTTTCATTGGTCTATTTACATCTCTCTATTAGTTTTTTTTTTTAATGTTAATGTAGTGATTATAAACTGAAAAATTACAAATTTAAATTGTGTTATGCTCACAAATATAGTAAAAAATGTTATTAAAAGTATCAAATACTAAAATAGCATGTCAGTAACTGGACTGGAAGACCATCCATAATTATTTTCGGGTAATCTGAGTCAAATTTTCTTGTCCCAAACCAAGACTACTGTTGCCCTATTTTAATATTTTCTTTAGATAAAAAGAAATCTTGGATTTTTTTAGATAAAGAATGGAGTTTTTAGATTAGAAAGAATCTCGGATTAATTTGGAAATCAGCTTTTATGTGACTGGTCTTGTTTCAAATAGTTTTTTATTTAATTGCAGGAGCAAGACAAGCAGTTTCGATACATTGCTTTAGAATTATGCCACGCTACTCTCTATGACTACATAGAAGATGAAAATTTTAAATCAATTAAATTGGATTCTATTTCTCTTCTTCAACAAGCAACATCTGGTATTGCTCATCTACATTCTTTAGATATAGGTATTTTGAACCTTCATCTTTACACATATAGTAGATATTTTAATCAAACTATTTAGCACATTTTTAAACTGTGTCAAATTGAATGTTCTATTTTCTTATATATTTGTACTGTTTCTTTAGTGCACAGAGATATTAAACCCCACAATGTTCTAATTTCAATGCCAAATGCAAATGGTGAAATGAAAGCCTTGATATCAGATTTTGGAATGTGCAAGAAACTGGCCAATGGTCATTCTTTTTCTAAACGTTCTGGCATAACCGGTACAGAAGGCTGGATTGCTCCTGAAATGCTTTTGGGTGAAAAAAGAGCCGTAAGCCATTAATTTTTTTTCAGCATTTCTCTTATTGCAGCTAATGTAAAAATATAATATGGAATTGAGGGTATTTTATTTTTTAAAATATTCTTCTAATTCTTTAGCTGAGCTAAATGGATACTCGAATTTTCACTTTACGATAAAGTAGCTAATTATATATTTCCTATTCTTTTTAGAGCATAGCGTAGTTTAAAAAAAAAATTATTGCTGTAATTATTAGTAAGGAGTTAATATTTGTAATATTTTTGTAAGCTTAGTTATTGTTCCCTCCTTTTATAAAGTGTTTTATCATTCAGACAACCTTGAATGATTGAAGACTTTTTTTAAATTAGTTTAATGGGTAATATTTTTAAGTACTAAAATGTGTAGGCATATAGAATTAAATGTGTTATTTTGGGATAATATATAGATGGGTTATATAATATTTCATTATTAGAAACACTAGCTAATGATATACATTTTTCCCCCCTTCAGACATCTGCAGTGGATACATTCTCTCTTGGGTTGGTGTTTTACTACGTGTTAACCAGTGGCAAACATCCTTTTGGCCATCCAGTCAGGAGACAAGGCAATATTCTAAATGAAGAATTTTCTCTTGAAGATTTGGATGATGAAAGTAAACTCATGGTTTTTCTATACTAACATGTTTTGTGAAGTTTGTAAATTTTCTATTTTACCTTTTTCTTTAAATACCCATCCCCTGCTTCTGGCTCTGTTCACCACCCCTTCCATTCATTTTTATTTATTTTTCTTAAATGTGGAGATTTTGCCGAAAAATTTTGTTTACAATATATATAATTATTATAATTTTATGTAAGAACACTTTCTCTGGATTAATTATGTGTAAGAAATAAAATATGAAAATATACACAATCTACATGACATTTAAATTCCGGATCTCTACTGCTCCCTTCTAGTTCATACTCTTTCTTAGTCCAGCTGATACTACGTTCAAGCTAATACTAAAAAGAAATCCTTTTTCTCACCAGTTAAAGTCCTTCGCTCCACCCCCAATGTACGGGAACGACACTTCCCGTGTCCCTCACCCTCTGACCCTCAGGTCAGGGGTCAATAGAATGCATGGGAGAGGAATCAGGATCCTGACACGTACTCTATGTATTTTTTTTACACAAATGTTTTTAGTTTCCTGTTTCTATGTCCTATAGTTTTTGGCCTCTTAAACAAATTGTCGCTTTAAATTGAGCACCCGAAGCGGTGATAGTTTTCTGTTATGTTTTTTTTAGAGACTAAATTTTTTATCAGTCTTCAAATATTAAAAGCAAACTTTGTCTTCAAAAGAAGCATTTCTCATTTTTTAAAAAATAGATACATATTCTGTATAGATATAGGTATTCTGTATAGGTATGAATGCACATAAAGTGTGTTTCATGTTTATATTGAAATTAACTATAGAAAGAATTGGTAAGACTCTTAACACTGTTTTACACTTGAAATACACTCAAGTATTTTAATTGTATTTGTATTTTGTGCGAAAAGATAATAATTATTTTTAATTTTATTGGGGTTAGTAATTTAAGGGAAATTATAAATAAAGAGAAAGTACTATCAACACTTGAAGCTGTAAGGAATTTGTTTAATTTTACAGTTGAACATGCAGCTCAGTTTATAATTTTCCAAATCAGTGACTGAAGCTTTTGGCATTTATTGACATATTTACTTGCATTTATTTTTTGATAAATATTTTGAAGCGAAATTTTATCTTTCGAATAGCAACTTTTATAAACTCAGCTTTGTACCTGTATGAAGTAGCAAAAAGGAATGAGAATAATTATTTCTTTTATCAGTTATTACAGTATACTAATTTCTTACAGATATTCAAAATTCTATTGAATCAGTGCATAAAAATTCGGCTCACAAGCTGTTAAATCATTTGATGGTTCAGATTACTATTAAAGATCCTTAAAGATTACTATAAAAGATCCTTAAAGATTACTATTAAAGAATCAGTATTAGACTTGAAGTTGCAGATACAGCACAGCAACCCAGAACACTTTGAAAAATCCTGTCTTTATATGTCATATTTTCGACATGTATCCTCCTTTCATATTTATACTATTTTTCTTTTATCATTTTAATACATTTAAAAGAGTTTTTTGTTGTTGTTTTTAATATAAACATGTAAAAAGATATAATAAAGCCATTTTTTTAAAATTTTTATTTTAGAAAATCCAGAAGCTTATTATCTCATTGAACACATGATAAAGTATGATGCATCTGAAAGGCCTTGTATTGCAGCTGTATTAAAACATCCTTTGTTTTGGAATGAAGAAAAAAGATTAAACTTTTTTCAGGTACACACATTTAAAATGAATGAACAAATTAATAAAAGTTTTTTTTTTTGAATTTGAGAATTAAGCTTTTAAATATTTAAAAACTTTATAAATTTGATTTTGCAAAATATCTTTAATCTTTAAACTGTTTTTTTCTAAGTTTAAGTAGATTAAATTTATTTTTTACACAAATTTGATTTTTTTAAAAATGTCCTTCAATATGTTTGTTCTATTAAGGTATTTGAATCTTTTGACAAAGAAAAGTTATTAATTTTATTTTAACATTTAGCAAGTGCTCTTGTTTTTTTAATTCTAATTACAAATGATGAATTTAATTCTAATTAGTAAGTGTCTATGTTATTTGTTTTTAAATTTTTTGTTATTCAACTGGGTAAATAATCTGCCATACATTTTTTGACTTTATGAATGGCTATATTAGTGATAGCAAAATTCTTTTATGTGTTACACTTTTGTTAATCCCATAGATTTTTTATTTCGTACATATTCCATGCACTTTTTTATACTAAAATTTTTTATCAGTAAATGTTTGAATATTGTTTCATACCTCTTGAAATAAATATCATTAAAAAAAATTAATTCTACAGCATTTTATACTCTTTGTCAAAGAGCAACCAAGCGGTCTAAGTCTAAACTCAGTAAATTACCAATAGTATAATTGAATATGTGATTTAATACATGTAAAACATAACAAACAAGTATAAAAAAAAGCATTCATTTATGAATCCACATTTATCATACATCTAAAACAAATTTAATCCTTCAAAACCAAAAGCTAGTCTCGTTCTGAACAAAACAAAAAATGATTCTAACAAAAACTAAACAAAAATGATTCACAACAAAAACATTCTAACAAAAAATGATTCACATTTTTGCTATTATCGATTTGGGTTATCTTGTTTTCTCCATTATCGTTTTTGCTTTTTCCAGTTTCTCTAAATCTTATTCTTGAGAGTCGGGACAACTTTCTTTTAATAAGTCTTAAAATGTTCCTCAACTTCAGGTGGGGGGTTCTGGGGAGAGGGAGTTGGAAAGGAACTTGATTGTTCTTAGTTAGACGAAGAATGCATAGTTCCCAATGTATGTTTTTAATGTTAAATCTGATGAGACCAAACAAGAACAAATAATTATAATTTTAAGATATAGTTTAATAAGTGACAGGGTCTTAATGTACGAAAAAGTAACAATTTGCTACAATTTCTTCTATATTTATTCTGTTAATTCAAATTTAATGATTCAGTATCAGAAAATACATAGAAAAAAAATTTCTTATTAGTCTAGATAGCAATACCATATGTATAAATAAATGCAAGTGCAAAATCTTTCTTTTTGTATACAAAACTTTAAATTAGCAACTTTTAGATTGTATTTCTGATTGACTGGTGCCTTGGACATTTTAGTCTAAATTCAATTCAGTTTAGTGTAAGATACTACATCAGAAGCAATTACTAGTTTTTCTAAGTAGCAATATTTTTCTCTTATCTACCCTTCCCATCTCAACTAGATGGGCAACCTTTTTACCACTTACTAAGAGGTGAATACTGAACTGTTTTCCACAAAGTAGAACTGTATTTTGGATCTCTTGTTAAAACCCTATTGTTATTATACTAATAATATTTGATATTATCCTTAAAAAATAATTGATTGTTGGGCTCCTTTACCTAACTTGAGTAACATTAAAAAATAAGTATATATTACTGCTTTTTCATATCTTATTTTATGTTTTCTTTTTAAGTATGTTTATTTAATGTATTAATCATGCACAGGACACGAGCGATCGTATCGAAAAAGAACCTTCCGAAAGTTCCCTCGTAAGGAAGTTAGAGAAATATGGATATTATATCCTTGATGGTGATTGGAGAGACCACATCACTCTTGAGTTACAGAATGGTAAATAAATAATAAATGCAATAAGCCTCTATCATAGAATACTTCTGTTAACTGAAGTTGATTTAATTTTTTTTTCTTACATAATTTTTTTCTTTCTCAGTTTTAATGATACGCTGCTCTAAGTCAGCAGTACATGGGGCCTTTACTGAATAATAATCTTTTTCTTTAAATTTCTGAACCCTAATTATCATAATTTTTGGATTACTTGTAGTAGCTCTGGTTGTAATTATTTCAGATAATCGAGAATTGGAATTTGATAATAAAACAACTTTATACCTGTATCTCAATCACAAAAAGACTTTCTCAGAAGGGCGGGCATATGCAAATAGGATATGGGAGCAGTGAGGAGGCGCTGTTGTCGATGTGTAGAGTGGATAAAACAGTCAATCTGCTTAGAAGGGTAGTTGTTGTGTGGCGTTAAAGTGAGGAGTTTCGTTTCCATTGCTCTAAAGCATGTTTTCAAAAGGTGATCAGCGATCGTGGCTTAAAATTGAGGTTGCCCGTTGCAAAAATGCAACAGAATGCTATCGAGATTAGTGGAAGCCTGTGGCGCAAATGCATTACCTTATAGGACAGTAGCACGATGGGTTCAAGCATTTCGTCATTAAGTCTTTTGAAAACAGGCTTTAGAGCGATGGAAATGAAACTCCTCACTTTAACACCACACAACAACTACCCTTCAAAGCAGATTGACTGTTTTTTGCACTCTACACATCGACATCAGCGCCACCTCACCGCTCCCATATCCTATTTGCACATGCCTGCCCTTCTGTGAGTTTCAAGGTTAAGTTGCCACTATTTAATTTACAACCCTTGTATTTATTGCTATGATTAAAAAAAGTCTGGATTTTCTGGTTAATTAATCAAAATATAAGATTAAAATCTGATGTTATCTTAATAATTTAGAATTTTTGATTTCCTGTTTAGGTCTATTTACATAAAATTTTTTTTACATCAAATCAAGAATCAGATAATTGAAATTTAAAATATATATATATATATCCTATATATATATATTTATAACTCTTTGACTAAACAGTGTTTATTAAACGTTCATATTAAAACTAAGTTTAAATAATGTTACTATTATTAAAAAAGTCTCAATTTTCAGAGTTCATTGATAAAAATAGATAATAATTGACCTCTAGGGCCTGCATTTTTTGATTGTCTATAGTAGGTCCGGTCACAATTACTGTGAATAATTATGATTCTTTAGCTCATATAAATAAATTTTTCTATGTTAACACATTAACCCAAAATTTAATTACACCTGCTTGTTACTCTTATCAAATTGGAAGTCAATATGGAAAAATCTTCAGAACAAGGGGTTGGGCTGTCGGGCCAATTATAATGATGTTATACTCCACTTTGGGCAATTTCGTTACACTTTTCTTCACTGGATTTTCTTTGTGCACTGATACTCAAAGGATTTTATTTGAGTTAAAATAATTTAAATTAGACCAAAAAATCTTTGAATGAAAAATTATTAAACTTTTACTCATTTTATGATGTTTCATGGTTTGTAATTTCAAATTTAAGAAGTCAAAATTAAAGAACAAATTTTTAAAAAAGTATTAAAATTATGCTTTTGAGATAAATTAAGTTATTTTTATGCAGAAAATGAGAAGAAATTCAATAAATACTTCATTTGTCTCTCTTTCTAATCTATTTTTATGCATAATTTTTTAAATTATACACTATTTTTCTTGCCATTTTGTTTGCTTTAAAATTCATATGGTTGTTATCTTCACAGATTTGAGAAAATTTAGGACATATAAAGGGCATTCAGTGCGAGATTTATTGAGAGCTATGAGGAACAAAGTAAGTATTTTTTTCTTTACTATGATGATTTAAATTAAAGAAATGAGCAGAAAAATAGAAAACCCTTGCTGAAGTATTTTTATAATAAAATATTTTTTGTCCTCTTTGTTAATTTATACTGTAATTGAAAACACTATTAATATTGGTCATGGTTGCTTAACTCGCTGATTCTTGAGGTTTGAAATTTTCTATCTCCTTAAAATATTAAAGATTTAAAGTATGTGTTGCTGAATTTCCTTCTAGTTTTCGCAGTGTGCTATGAGAAACTCATCTTATAATGGGAAGTATTAAGTTTTTTAATCTGAAGGCTTTTCAGGTACAAAGAAGGGTTGTAGTGAAAAAAAATTCTTCACTTTATAAATTCTTCATTTTTTGTTTTATTTCGTGTCAAGAAATACTAAAATTAAAATCAGCAATTAAAAATACACTTCCTTAAAAATTTTGTTACAGTAAATTTTCTTTATAGAGGCTATGTTTTTTTTTTCTTCTTTTTTTCAGGAATCATTGTTACACAATTTTTAAAAAAAGAGAGAAAAAAACATTAGAAAAAAGTTCTAATTCATATTTTGAGTTCCTTTAATGATCATTTGCACAGTGTAACATAAACAAAATTATGTAATCTTAATAAACAGCATTCTCAAGATTTAAAATTTTCAAAAAAATGTTCGAATTTTATTCTTTAGAATATTGAAAATCATTGTAACCTGTAAAAGGTTTAAATTTAAATTATTTCAATGATCTATTTTAAAAATATTTGAGGAATAGATTTAAATTTTAAGCATTATTTGCGCTCAATTTTACAAACTGAAAAAATAAAGATTAAAAGCATTTTTAATGAGTTAATAATAAAAAGAGAACATATTCACGTTACATAAAATCTATGGTATTCTTATAAATTTATAAATAATAGAAAAAAGAAATGTTACATTTAAATGATAAAATCAACGATTTATTTCAGTATGATAAGCTGAATAGTTTGAGAATTGAAAACTCTTATGAAATTCATATGTAAAATTATAATTTTGAAATATATATTTGAAAAATTACGGATTTTTAATTATCAGAGAGATTACTGCTATAATTTAAAAGTTCAATGTGCATGCGTATAAGTTGTAAAAAATCAAAAATAGATTTAGGCATTTTAATAATAAATAGTTCAATCTTATTTTTTTGATGTACATGTCAGATATTTAGTTAGGATTGTGTCGGTTGATCTTGAACACATGAAATTATTTTAGAATAAAATGTTATATTCATTATCTAAATAAATAATTATTAATTTCGAATTTTGAGGATAGTTATGTTTTAAAGATAGTATTAAAGTTGTATTTATGTTTAAATTTACGAAAAAAAAATTCTATCCAATTGTAATTAGTTTACATTTTTTTGTTAACTTTTGAAGCGATATAAGATTTTAAATTGAATATTATAGTGAGTAACATTATAATTTTAGAAAACAAAAATCGATTGGTCAAATTTTAGTGATTTTTTTATTCTTTTTATATATGAATTGTAAATTACAAATTCTGCTTTTGTTAAGGACTCTAAAACGTTTTATTATGAGAAACAATTTGAAAAAAATCTCATAATTAATTTAATTCTGGTTTTATATGGTGACTTTAATTTCATTTTTATTTCTGAAGCATAATTTAACACCTTTAACAATACTTTGATAATTGGATATTATTTTCTCTGATCTTCAAAATAGCATGATTTCTAAATTGTTTAAAATAGTACCTTGGTAACATTTGTATAAATTTAATATCCGATTTGATTTGTGCTGTTGAACCCAAATTGAATAAGATTCCATAATTATTTAAACGTTGGTTATTTCTAAAAAGTTAGTTCTTATACATAGTTTTATTTGAAATCTTAAAGAAACTTTTAATACTTTATATTTTAATTTTCAATACAATTACATAATATATAACAGTATTCTTGTAAATTATGTATCAATTGTCTCACAGGGGTTCAATTTTTTGATAAGTTAAAAATATTAACGAAACTAATAGAGTATTTCACATAATTCAAAAAAAAAAAAAAACTAGTTTTAAAATGTATTATTTGTATAATATTAAATCATGATACAATAAGTGTAATTATGGAACTTTTGAACAATTTTTGAGCTGCTTAAGATTCTTAATTTTGTAAATAGTATGAAGTTGGGAAAGTTATTTTGTATTTATTTTTTTAAAATATTTTATCTGCAATACCTTACAAAATTTTGGGTATTAAAATTTTATTTTTTAGAAAACATTTGGAAAATACTCTCAATCATTGTGACAATTATTTTCAATTTCGAAATTGAATAAAAGTGAGCTAAAGATCAAAGATTGCAATGATTTTGACTTAAAAATGTATTTGTAGTACAAAAGAGGAGATAAATAACTTAAATTTCCTGATAGTTTTTTCAGCTACTGACAAGTGGATATCAAAATGCACTAAACTGAAATGCATTTAATTATCATATAAATTAACAGTTTTTAGCCCCATTACTCACAGTAGCCTCAATGAACACAACCTATATTACATTAAAACAAATCTCCATGTTATGAGAAAGAAGGTATTTGTTTTTTAAAAAATTAAATAATTTCACAAAAAACAAGTATTGTTATTTTTGTATGCTTTTCTTATACAGAATTTTGCTCAAGAAAAGTTCCTAGAATTTCATTTATTAGTCATCTAGTCATTTCCAACTGTTCTTGCACGTTGTTTGCTTTTTTTTCCACTAAAAATCTATATCTCTATGTATTATTATCATATTACCACTTATGTATTATCACTAAGACGCTATATTATAAAATTTTATATTTTAATGCATTATTCAAGTGCAATAAAAAGAACAAGTTTCAATTATTGATAATCAAAATCAGGGTTACCAACCAAACACTTAGGAAAAGTGAGTAATTTTAAATCCCTAATATTACAGGGAGTTCTTGTTGATTCCTGCTGTGCATGTAGGGGGTGAAAAGTCAGCCTTTTGAATCTTTATAGGAAGATAAAAAAGTTAAAAATTTGTCTTAGATTTTAAATTACTGCTTTCTTAAAAAGACTAATTATAATAGTATTACAAGGGAGTATGTATCTTTTTTTGTAGTTTAATTTTTCTTCAAACTATATCGATTAATATTATTTATAATATAGTATGATAAAAATTGCAATGTATTTTAAAAAACAGTGAATCAAGAAATTTTTTTAAAAAAGTATTTTGGATAAATATGTTTGGATGTTTTACAAAAAATGGTATTTGTAAAATGGGATTTTAAAAAAGAGAGAGAGAGAGTACAATTAAGGAACATCAGTTCCAAGACTTTTAATTTTCTTAACACTGATGATATACTTTGAAATAATTAGTGATACGCATAAATGTACCCTTTTTGTTGATCAAACTAGAACAAGTTGTAGACGATTCTCTTCTTTTTCAAACTATATTCATGAATGAGTTTGAATAATTGCTTGTTAAACTATACTCATATGTTTGAATAAAATCAGGTTTTGACTTCTAATGAATGATTTTTGTTTTTGACTCTTAATTAAGTTCAAATGACACCTAAACTTTATGCAAATTTTGTAAAAAATAAAATATTTATTGACAGTAACATATATTTACAAAAACTTAGAAAACATTTGTAATTCTTAAATTTAGTACGTAAAAAATGGATGGTTAATCAAAAAACATTTATTTATTGTTCCATGGAATAAATTTATCTTTTCATTTATAGTGAAAAATAGCTCATTTTTGTGAATAAAAATGGTGTCTGTTTTCCACTTTATTTATTTAAACAAATGTAATTTTTCTATGTGCTTTAGACACTGTTATTATTTTTTCCTTAAGAAACACCATTACCGGGAGTTACCAGAAGAGCTTCAGTCATCACTTGGAGAAATACCCAATCAATTTGTTACGTATTTCACATCTCGTTTTCCAAAGCTTCTCATACATTCCTACCTAGCCATGCAGCTTTGCAAACATGAGACTATATTTTCAAAATATTATGATCCTTCCATTGACTTACTATTTATAGATGATTACAACAAAGCTATTCCACCTTCTCCCTGGCAATTGAAGAAAATTGCTAGAGAAGCTGAGAAACAGGCTGCAATCAAAAGTGACACAACACATGATTCCAGTGTTAAAGCACATGATGGAACCACGATTCATGATAGTAGTGATACAATGGTCGTGTCGTGTGACACTAGGGCCACATGGCATGATATGAGTGTTACAGAACATGAAAGTGTCATGACTTGTGATATGGCGCCTGATACTAGTGTCATAAAATGTGACACTGAATTTCCATTATCTCTTGAAGAGAAAAATTTTTCATATATGATTAATGATGGAGAGCATAATAACAATGTTATTTCTGTTATAATGAATAACAAGAAGTCCACTGATTTTATAAAAGATACTAAAAAAAAGAAACTTAAAAAGAAGCATAAAACTCCTAACAAAGAATGAATGTTTCATTACCTACTCTAGAAGTGCAATTAAATGTAAATAGACATTAAATAATTGGTGCAATTGTAAATAAACACTATCATTCACTCCACAATAGAGCAAGGTGATAACGCAGCATAAAGGTGTTTTTAGATGGGGGGTTTTTTTAATAACGGTGCATGGATGTTAAGAATTATTTAATGCACAGCAGAATTTTTTAAGTTTTTTTAAAATTCAAATTGTGTTGTTTGATATTTGTGTATGTGGATTTTATGTTTTTAAGTCATTTTATTTTCATGTTGTGCACAAAAGTGTTATGAGATGCATGTTAACATGAACTTCACATGCCTATTATAGTCTTAACTATGAACTATGGTTATAAATGTAGCTATGGTTATAAATGCAATGTCTAGTTGTAGTCAAGTGGCTATGTGTTAGGCAGGACGGTTGGTAGAATTAAGGTAGGCTTAGTGTTAATAGTACATAATACATAAGGTAAAGAAGTTGAGCGACAAAGCTGCAGAGCATCATCGATTTAGTGCAAATAGACTCAAATGGTAAGAAAAGAACACCAAAAATGTGTATTTGTTTGTTAAGAACTTCCTACATGCTGACTTGAGTAAATAATATTGGGGGGGGGGGAAAGTCCCATAATGATGTAATCACACAAATGCATGTTTTAATGACCTTAATTTTTCAAATTAATGTCATTAAGGTGTTTATTTGTATTAAATAAATATCGCTCTACAACTTCGTAATTATTTTGTGTCTCATATCTTTTACCATTTTCAAGATAGTAATGCTAACTTTAGAGTTTTCCTGCAGATGTCAGTATAAGCAGTTTTGTTTTGTAGCATATAGTCACTTTAATACACCTAGACACCACTTTTATAAGTGTAAATGGACTCAGTCATTGGAAAGTTAAAAAGGTGGCCACACACTTCAGCATTATGTTTGTTGCATCTGTATATTTTGACACGTAAACACCACTTTTTGACAGTTGCTTTATATTATTATTCTCTGGTGGTTATATACTGTGGTACTAATTTTTGATAACTTGTCATTATATGTTTTGATTTAGCTGTATAACTTTTAAAATGCCTTTTGTCATTATTAAAATTTTGAAAAAGTCCTTCGCTATGCCTTTGACCGATGAACAATTTTGTGATAATGTATGTTCTCACTGCAGCTGAAGACATTAGTTATTTTAATAAAAGTAACCAGCATGCAATAGAACTAAAAAACAATGAGAGACAAGTCAAGGTGCTAAATTGAATTTTTTTTTTTGAAAACTAAATTTATATTAGTTTTGTTATGTTTTAAAATGAATAAATTTGTGCTTAAATTTTATCATTTTGTTTTTGTGTATTTAAATAATACTCTATTTAAGAACAATATTTAAGTTTGGATATTTATTTTATGAAGGATAACAAACAAGTTAAATCATCTTTGTAATAAAATTATATTTTGTCTTTTTGTTTGTTTTTATACAAACAAAAATGTCATGAACTATTTTTTATACAAAATAGAATTGAACAAATTATATTTCAAACATCAGTATTAGACTTGATTAAAATCATTGTGAAAATCTTTTTATTTCTTGTTAATTTTTATTTTAGGGTCTTGTGAACAAATATAAGTTTAGTGTACTAATGTGCTATATAAATTCAGCTGAAAAAAGTTTAATATTAACAAAAACATTTCATTGTAGTTATTTTAAATTATTTGAACTGTTACTCATTTCAATTGTTTAATTTTTTTATGACTTTATTTTATCATTTAAGCATTTTGTGTGTTACAATAAGAAAGCATTTAGATAAATACGTAATTTGTGTAATTATTTATAGTTTTGTTATAACCTATTTTCATGTGGTGAATTTCTTGTTTTATTCTATATAATGATACATAATTAAACATTTTGATTAATTTCTCTGATGTATTGTTTTCTATAACTTAACAAGAAAATTAGTTAGTCAAAATTTTGAATTTACAAAATGTCAGTTAAATATTTATTCATGCACTATATTTCAACCGATTATTTTTAGGACTAAATCATTTCAAACTGAAGTAAAATAGTTTTCTTTACATTAAAGAGCCTGTTAACTATGAAAACATTAATTTCGTTCATTTAAATGCATGATAATAATTTTCAAGGATATCGTATCATCTTGATTCAATGAAAAGTAATGATGTTATGATCATATAGTAAGTTTATTTATGTTAGTGTGAGTACTCCTTTAGAAACTACGATTTCAAAAGAATGTTTTTACAGTCGATAACAAAAATTTCTCTGTTTGTTTTGTTTTTGTTACATTTTGTTCAAGAATATTTTCTTTAGCACTTAATCATGCAGTTTCTTTGGTTTTTGCAGTTTCTTTCTTTTTTTTCTTCTTTTTTTTATTTTTTTTTATTTTTGCAGCTTCTTTGATTTTTAATTGTAGATCAAACACTAATTTTTGGGTTGAAAATATTTGAAGATCAGCTGATATATGTGATTAACATACAGAGGTGGAACAATATTGAGTTTTCCCTTTAATAGCCCCCAATAATGGTTTACATTATTGAGTACAACAGATGCGTAAAATATTGTTTGTTGCTCAACACTATGACATGGCTCTGAAAAAATGGTATCAATTTTAAAACGTTCTTACTTTTCAAAGTTATGGATCAAATTTTTTATGATTTGTTGGACCATGAATTTAATTATTTCAACATAAGAGTAAAAACATCTATGTATTAGCAATATTGCTTACCAAAAATAATAAAATCAATTATAGTTTTATTTCATACATTGTTCTTACTATCATTCATTCATCGTTACTTAATTGAAATATAGTCATGGAAAAATAAAAGGTTTTGAAAACTTTTAAAATTCATTTTATGCTTGAAAGCTATTGAATATATTTTTATATATTTATTGATGTTTGGTTCTATCTGATTTGAAACCAAATCATTGTAAAACCAAAAAATCCTTGGACCTTACCAATAACAAAAATAACGAACTAATCTATTAATAATAACTCTTCATATACTATTGATCTTTGAAAAAATATTAGCATTTTTAATATAAAATACTTAAAATATAAATGATTTAATACTGAAAAAAAAAATTCTTTCATGGAGATAGAGGTGAGATAAAAGAAAATTAAAAAATAGAAAAGTGAAAGCAATTTATTGAAGGCGTCTTGTTATGCTTTGTTACTATTTCCACTATCTGATTCTTTTTAAATATTGTCATCTTTATTTGTCAGTTGACAAGTTTATTCATTAATTTTGTGTGTGTACACTTTATGGGTAAGGGATGTGCAGATGTTGCCAGTGTTTGTTTTCTAAGAACATGATGCATTTTAGCATTTAAAAATATCATGCATTTAAATGTTAAAAGTTTTATTATTATTTTTATTTAGAAAAAAACTTTTTTTAATTTTAGAAGCTTTTATTTAAAAAAAAATTACAAAGTAAATAAAAGTTATTATTTACAAAAAAAAAACTTGTTTTGGATTTATTTGAGTAATACATTTGTTATAATTCTTCTTGGCTTGGTGATTTTGTATGAATTTTTCTTAGAATTCATAAACATTATACAGTATATGCCTGATTATATACCAAGAAAGATGACTCAGAAGATTTGAAACTTATTATTTTGTTATGCAAATTGCGACATGTTATTTGTGCTGTTTAAAATGTTGATTTATAATAGATGATCATAAATAACGTTTGCCGTAATAGATATTCTTTATGTGGACCTCTTCACCATATTTATTAACAAAAAATAATAATAAAATGCACATATTTGACCAAAAAGTATTGATTGGATGGCGATTAGCAGACTACTTTTTTTATCGGCCGATAATTTTGTCCTATATTAAGAGCATATTTTGAATACAAATTGGACAACGGGAATGTTTTATGTGCTTTTTTTTTCTATGAGAGTTAATGATTTGTCACAAATCATACCACTTTTTTTTTTTTTTTGTAAACTGATCTTTGTTTGCAGGCACACGCAAAAAGAATCGGTGGGAAGTCGTGATGGTTATGCATTGATTAAATTTTTATTTTATAATTTTTTATGATGTAATTTTTTATAATTAATTTTCTAGCAGATTTTGAAATGTATAGATAATTTTTAGTTTTTACTGATCAAAATCTCATTTTACTTTCCCTTTAAAATCGATCTTTTACTAGTTGACAAGAAATAGCTTTGACGCTTAATACATTGTAATATAAATGCGTATTGAAACACCACAACCAAACTTTAAAATTTGGTAGCAGAACCCACTGCAAATTATTACACATAAATTTTTTCCTTTGCAATAAAAAGATTTTACAAAAAGAATGTGTGTCTTCTCTTTTGAGTGGAGCTGTTTAATTTAAAATACTCCTTTTAAAATATCTCTGAACTTGCATTACAAATATAAATTTGTTTCTTCATAAAATGTTTTACGCGAGTGCAAAGGAAGCACGATTAATTTGCACACAGATAATCAGGTATATACTGTAGTCCTAGAAATTTTTTTTTTACATTATAGAGAATTTGTCCTAAGCTGGTTTTTTATTTTGTATGAACAAACGTAATGCTCATGTTTTAAAATTTTTTCCCTAAGTGTTAGGTTTAATTCTTTTTTATTATCAATGCATTATTCATTGTTTTAGTTTAGATTCTTCTAAAATATGAGCTTTTTGGGTGCGTAAATTTAGTTTTTGTGAAAAATGATTTCTTCTGCATTCTTATTCATTACTTTATTATTATATTTTGGTTATGCATTCCCTTAATTATATTTGTAATTTGATCTCTTTGTAAATATTTTGTTTTTGAATAAAAAATAACATATTGTTCTAAACTTGTTTACTTATTTTAACTACTATTGGTAGAGTGCATTTTGAAATGTAGCATGCGAGAGTCAGTTATTGAGAAAGACAGTTTTTTGTAATTTACTAAATTTGATACATTTTAAAAAGACTAGAGACATTTTGATTCATATAAATGGAATTGATTAAACTGAAATGCGTACAACCTCAGTCATGTTTAGGTGGTTAGAAATAAATGTAAATTTTTTTTTAAATGCAATTATAATACATAAAATATAGGGGATCTGCCTGTTCTTTCGATTTTAAAGAGATCCAGTACTGACCTCAAGGTCTGTCCGCTGTCACTCTTGAGAGTTGGTTTATGAAGATCTGACTGTTAGCGACACAGGGGAGAGACTAAGGATAAATCCCAGTTTGCAGGGTTCCATTCTGATATTCCCGATAAAAAATATTTTGTCCTGATATTCCTGATTTATGAGTGTGCTCAGAACACCCCATTTTCTATGAATACAAATGTGGATCGATTTTTAATCCAGCATCTTTTTATTTTAATTAAAAAATGCTATTAAAAATCACAAAATTTGTAGTTTGAACTTAGTTCATTAATATACACATGGATTAGGCATATAGTTTCAGCAGGATTCTTTTTTTTTTTTTAACTTTTGGGAATTAAGTTAATTTATGGAGAAACAGTTTTACACAATAAATTTTCATTTGGGGGGGGGGGGNGGGGGGGGGTCAGGAGGTCATATGCTCATTTATTATTTTCAGCAAATACAGTAACAAATCTTGTAGAAGAAGTTTTGAAATTCACATTTCTCTCTTCGTCTCTTTCATAGTGATAAAATAATCGATTCCATTCAATAAAATAGTATTTATATCATAGATGTTTTAGGATCAGCAACTAAATTATTTTTGTACCAAATTGTTAAGCGGCATATTCACTGTGTTTTAAAGATTATTTAAGTCCTATTTTAAAATTATTGGATGAAGGTTATCCAGGGTAGCACATTCGAGAGTAATTTGAAAAGCTAGTAGGAAAAAAATATAGCGGAAACAAAATGTTTTATATATTTACAAACTGAACATACTTGTTACAGCTGAATTCTTAAAATTGACGATAAATTCATAAAGCATTCACTTTTTACATTTTTTTCAGACTCTTCTGGTGCTGTTCTCTTGAATTCGATTTACTAACTTTAACTAAATATTGTTAAGAGGAAATATTACCCAATGGATATTGGTTATTTTTTTTTATGCAAATGTCTCTCTATGTTCAAAATTGTCTGTTTTTGGATTTTACATTACATTTGGTGGTGCAAAAACGTGACTTGCGTAAAGGAATTACAGAGCTGTGTATAAAAAAAGAGAGGAAAAAAAAAGAAATTAGCAATTATAAAATCCGTTATCAACAGTTAAATTTCAACTATTTATGAACATAACACGATTTTTTTTCGGAAATTGAAAGTAATTGCAATTGGGTGCTTTTTTTGTAATTTTTCTCTCTCTTCTTTTTCTTTAAATAGTAACTTTATTCATTGTTATAGAATAATTTATCTCTCTCGAGATCTTCACTTTATTAGCTCGCGTTTAAGATTACTTATTGCCATATTTAAATCTTAACTTTTTTATCGAAATTTTTAAAATATAGAATAAGTCTCAATATAGATAAAAACTGTTTACAATTTGAACTGTTATGTGATAGAAAATTATTATGTTGCACATTCTTAAGTTAAATTTTTCTTCAAACTACGATTGATTATTTTTCACATTTAACTATCGATTCATCTTATTACGATTAACAAAATAATAAAAAATTTGCTTTCTTAGATTATATAAATAATTCATTTTATGTACAAAAGAGAGAAGAAAAAAAACCTTAATGAATGAGACTGGTGCTCGAAGAAAATTCTTATTTTTGTTATCAAAGTATTTTGAGTTGTTCTTTGATAAAATTATAAGGCAGAATGCTAAAATTTCTGTTCCAAAGGAAAATAATTCTAAAATTAAAAAGAGTACATTTTGTGGTTCTTTTGTAATAAGATTAAGATTTACTAAAGTAGAGCTAATTATACTTTTTTAGTTTGTTGTTTGCACTTTTTAAAAGCCGTTTTCTAAAAAATTTCTGAAATGTTTTTGGCCCACTACGAGGCTTGCACAATTAATTCTTCGTTTCCTTTTCTTTAAAATAGTCTAGTATTTGTTTATTGTACCAAAAATTGTCCTGATTTTTCTTTAAAATGTTATTACTTATGCGACTTGCCAATACCAGAATGCGTGGAAATCAAACGAATTTTTAAGGCAGAGGGTGCATTTCTTTTTTTTTCAGTGGTGCCATCTATGACCAAGAAATACGATTTCAGCCCCCACACACGCCACAGCCCGTTTCACAGGGAGGACCCATTCATTCCTCCCCAGATAGTGATTTTGATCTGAACCAGACAACGATCCAATTCAGTATCCCCCCCGAGGGATTGAAAATGTCCTGATTTTCATTTTGAACGACCGTGGAGCTTACAGTTTGTTGTGACTGTCCGATTGTGAGACATGAACAATCTAATCGAAGCAAACAGTAAGAAAAATAACTTGAACCATACATTTTAATTCATGCTCAGGGGGAGGGGAAAACTTTTTGAATAAGTAATCATTCATGTTTACATGATAGGTCATATCCATTCGGGTATGTGACATCTGAGTGTAGCAGAAGCTTCCATCAGTTCATTCCGATGCCTTTCATGAGTAACAGATGTTACGCATTCTTGAAACATCTTACTGCTGAAACAATGCTTTCTGTAAAAGGAAGAATACTTATAACAATTTGTATTTTCAATAGACATAACATCAGTTTTTATTAATGAAATGATCACACTAAACTACCAGCTTAGCGATCCAAGCGTTTTTAATTGTGCGGACCACCAATTTCATAAAAACTTTGAGGTCCACTTACTACTTTTACATTCAAGCAAAAAATCTAACCATAACTTTACTACTATTACATAAGCGGTTAACAGAAACCCTCCAGCATGGATTATTACACCTGCTCAAGATTATTATTTTTATCGCAGATTTCAAAAACATAAATTAAACTAATTAACAGCTAGTGAAAGTATGTGAGTTATTTTTAAAATAAAATTGCTGAATAAAATAGAAATCCAGTGAAAAATGTTTCTTTTTTATCCTCATTGACGAACGATAACAAATCATGCATATACTGGTTATCATAAATGAGGAAAATATAACAAAAATAGCGGCCCAATAAGCCAATCCCATTGAAATTTGAATATGTTGTCAAACGAGAGTTGCTAAATAAAACTGCCATATTAAATGAAGTCATCTACAATGTGCATAAAATTGTATGCTTGATCGCAAGAATTTTGCAGTGCTTCTGAAATTTGAGCTATCCCATTTGTAACAATAATCACCCGGCATCATTTTGTCCAAGGAACTGCGTTGGACATCCATTTAAAGATTAGAGGCAGGACAAAGTCGGATAGAAGTTGCCAGATGGCTAAATGTGAGTCCTTCTGTGGTTGATAGATTTTGGTAGCAGTTTCTAACCATAGAATTGGCATCCAGAACGCTCAGCTAAGGACGTCCAAATGCTACGAAGAGTGCCGATGACCGATATTTATCGTCATGTGCATAAATGAATTTGATCCAGTCTAGATCCTTTCTTAGTGCAGCTACCAGGAGAGCGTCTGCTGTGCATAGACAAACTTAGTTTTTTCGCCAAGCTACCAGCCATTCGCACCGTAGAATGGAGCCTCCAAAGCGATGGTTGATTGATTTGAAGAGAACCCGATATCATCCATCCCTGAAAGAGATGCATACCAAGGAATCTGTTGTGTGTTGGGTGGACCTGCATTTCTCTCCACGTGCATGCTCTCGTGTATTGAGATGGCACAATGAGTGATGATTTCGTGCTACAGGAGGAAAACGCAACGCCGTGCAGGGCTCGCATCGTGGATGATTATCTTCAACAGCAGACAATTTATGGCAAGGAGAAGCCAGATCGATCACCGGACTTAAATCCTATAGGAAGACGTATAGCTGATCTCAATCCTCCTCTTCAGACTTCCTCAACTGTTTTGCAAGAATAATGGTTCGCACTTTCAACTAGACCACATAATTGAAAGCATCACACATTGCTGTAACTTAAAAATATGGAAAAAACGCAGAAAAAATGTAAAGATTTTTTAAAAAAGAAAAAAAAATTAAAAAAACTGGAAGACCGATTATATTTGCAAAACAATAGTGCTTTATAATATTGTATTAATACAGCCTAAGCGAAATATGTCAATACAATAGTGTGAGGAGTACCAAAAAAATAGAGACGAAAATCGAACAAATTAAGCAACAAATACAAAATAAAACATAATAAGCAAAAATAGAACATAAAAATTCAAGAAAATACGCAATAAAACACAAATTGTAATATATAAAGCGAGTAGCGAATTTATTATGTACTTACACTTACCGGCATCGTTGGAAAATGATTTAATATACTTTCGTAACAAGTTTACCAGGTTATAAAATATGAAAATAGAAGCGCAAATAGAGGATGCTGGGATCATTTTACGGTTCATTCTTACTGAAGCACCGAAACGCGTTTAATTTATCTATTTAGTTAACTTGGATTGGTGTGAATCTAGATGTGTATAAGGTAATGATATTTTACTGGATAATTCAAAGTTTATAATTAATAAGTTTAAATTGTAGTTATGAAATTTTCATATGGATGATTTTAGAGATATTATTAATATTTAATGAAAAATATTGATTTTTAAACGATTCTTTATTAAATATTAGAAGAATTTTAGCTACGGATTCTCCCGAATTGAATTTGCACATGGTAAAAATAAAAATTTAGTTAACAGAGAAATTTTTAATAAATGTATTAATAATTATAACATACGATTAACTCAATGATTTTATATGGAATTTAATAAAACTTTTTGGATATTCCTTGTTTTTTTTATTAAATTTCGGAAGAGTTCGTCTATTCGTTTTTTCGATAAATAAACATTACTAAACTGCTGTTTGTAGAAAATGCAACACCATGAAAGAATCATCAGAATCAAATGAAATTTAATGCAGAAACGACTTGTACTGATACAAATAAATGATGAAATTTTCAAAACAAAAGAAACAAATTAAGCGTCCGAAATCAGTATTTGGTGCAGCCACCACGCGCTGCAATAAGTGCTGCTATACGACGTGGCATGGAGTCAAACAGATGTTGAATATCTGCTTGAGGANTATATATATATATGACCCAGGTATGTTTCGTGTATTTTGACAGAAGGACTGGGTCATTAGTATTAGTTAAAACCAATTTAAGTTTTTGAAACGTTTCTTGTTTTTCCTTATCAAATTTTAAAAGGAGTATTTGTTGCGAAGTAGATCACTGGGAGGTTTGGCAAGTAATTTAACGAAACCATACCTTATTCATGAATAAAGTATATTTACGACTGTTTTCAACAATTTCACAATGATGACAAGCTTTCTTAAGATCGAAGCATTATGCAAATTTAGCATCGATTAAATGATCCAAAAAATTTTCCATAAGGGAAAATGGAAATCTATCGCGAATATTTTTTTTAATATTTAGTTTACGATAATCTACGCATACTTGAGTTGAATTAGTTTTTTTCTTATAAAAAACTAAAGGAGCACAAAAATCAAATAGATTTTCCCTTTTAACTCGAAATGTTAAATTTCCCATACCTATATGGGCATTACTATAAAGCATGCACCACCTACAGTGATTTAAGTGCATCTAGCACAGGGGTTTCCAACTTACATGAGGCCGGGGGCCGCAATTAGGAACACCAGTCAAATGCCGGGCCGCAACTTTAACAAAATTTTATATAGGACTCTTTTATGTTTGAATGAACATTAATATTACTGTCAGATTTTTGCAAGTTGAACAAAACAAAAGTATTGAATTACAAATTAAAATCAAAAGTAAATTCATAAGCAACACACACGACTATTTTTGTATTTGAAAAAATATTTATTGGATGCAAAACCTGAGAAATAAATTTTTTAGCTCCGTTGGTATATGTTAAATTTCACAGAAACGAAGAAATTAGGTTTTTTAAACCCATACAGATTTTTTACGAAAATTGCCCGCAAAAAATAACAACATATATATTTTAGTTAGCTGGCCACAAAAAAGGGCTTCGCGGGTCGGATGCGGCCCACGGACCGCCAGTTGGTAACCACTGATCTAGCAAATCGCTAAGTGGTCGTCATTTGAATTGCAAGATTCCATCATTACAAACATGAAAGCAAGTGAATGAAGAAATAGTAAAAATGGTCATTACCTGCATTTATAGAGTATTTCCTCTTCTCTAAAAACTTGGTAACATTCTTCACAAAGCCTGTCCAGTCGAGCTAATTTTGATTGGTCGTACAGGCCGCGGCAGCCCAGTCTGTCAAACTCAAAAAAAGTGATGTCGCCGGCCTGTGATGTCTCTGCCACTACGAGGACTACATAAACCATGTACCAAATCTGAGATAAACAATTCATTCAACTTTATATTCACTCCCAGTAAATATGCAATGAATTATGAAATTATTTTTATTGTACAGTGTGCTAAAAAAAAGAGATCACCCTGAATAACTTTTGGTTTAATGATTGGATTTTCATGTATGTGGACTGACTGGCATAATCTAATATGTCTTTGAACGATATTCCGATGATCAGACACAAATCGTTCTTTCTCTATTCTTTTTTTGTTCGACGGTGATCCTCAAAACATGACAAGCAATCTGGAAACCCAGTAGTTTAATCTAGAATGTTTTGGACGTTTATTTTACTTCTAGCATATTTTGCTTTGTCTCGAGAAGTTTTTAAGCGAATTGAAATGTTTTTGCACATAATTTATAAATGACGCTCATACAAAGATAATTCCACACAAAAAATAACTTTTAATAATAAAAAAAATTAATTTTTGAAATTTTTCTAAAGTATGTAATATTAAGTAATAAAAAACAAAATTTGAGCGAAATCTGAAAATTTGAGTTTTTAGAAATTCACAGTAAAAAAAAAGAAAATTTTTATTTTGAATAAATCAAAAATGATTTGATTTAATTTGAGGTCGCCTGGAACATGAGGCCAGTAGCAGAATGTTGTTAATGCAAATTGAAGTTATTTTGTAACCATTTTATTCGGCTTTTTTCCGTTAGCAGTGCCATCTTTCGAAAAACTTTGTAAATAATTGTGAAGCTTTGTACGCTACTTTGAATAATATGCTTTGCTGCTACTCTGGCTTCCTGAGAAAATCGTCAGATTTTATTCTCTTTAAATATTTAGCATTTTTTAAGTATTATAACACAACAATCTACAACACAGCTAAAAAAACTTTAAACATTTTTAAAGCAGATTTTAATTATAAGTTGTGTAAAATTTGAAAGCTAATTTACAGTGAAATCATTCTCCTAAAAAAATTTAAATGCATTTTTTGCATTTCAATAATAATCTATTCTCCTCATTATTTACGTTCCTTTGTGTTTTTAAGTGACATAGTGTAAATATATACAACCACGGAGTTGAAATTTAATTAGTTAAAGCTAATTTTTGATTTTACACAAATTACTATTGTTGTAGAACAATTCCAAACGTACTTATCACACGCTTTATTACATTTTGAAAGCTAGAAAACAGTAATTTAAATAGAGGAAAAGCGTACACATTAGTGATCAAATGCTTCTTTGGGATGAGTGTATTCGTAAGTTTTAATTTTTAAGTTTTTAAGTGTTTAAGATTTAAAAGGGATTAACTATTTTTCAGAAACTTATTATTATAAAGTTTTTTGTTATTTTAGTAGTATAAGGAAGTACTTTATTCATATTTTCTATTAGATATATAATGAATGTTATATTTCAATTTTGCATAAAAGATAACTATTGTTGTTTTGAATAATATGCAAACTATTGTTAAACTTACAACTCTAAAAGTACTCTTGTAAGTTTTGTTATATTAAAAAAATGCTTAGTAATGATATTTTTAACAAGAAACTATTAAAAAGTATTATTGTTTTGCATAACTTATAAACTATTATTTTCGAATCACTCCAAAGTACTTTGCCGAGCTTTATTGTAGTAATGCATAATGCTTTAAAGGAAAGAAAATTCATCTATATAAATATTTTTATTCATCAAAAGCTAAAAGTAAATGAAAAAAATCGCATGTTTTTTGTTTAAACAATTCTAAGCCGAAATGTGTAATTTCCATTTCTATATTTTTATTTATTGAATAAAATAATACAAACATATAAATACGTTTTTAAGTTGTTAATACTAACTTTAAGTACAAAATTTAAAAACTAAATTTAATAAGAATTTTCATAACTGTTGATAAAAGATGAGAGAGAAAGTTATACTCACCATAGCTTGCAAATGTTTTTTTTTTCTAAAAGAGAGTCGGGAGAGCTTCTTCGTTCATCAATAGGACGCCTAATGAACTAAATCGGAGTGGTCAACCATTTATAGAAACTAACCATCTCTTCGAATTTATATTAATGTCCCGCCGCATCATTTAGATCTTTTCATCCCACCCCCTCTTTAAAGATTCTTTCTTAATTCATTAGACAGCTTTTCAACCAACAATTGCTTATTATTTTTTTTTTTTACTTTAAAACTTAAAATAGAGTGACTTAAAATATTTTGATTTGATTAAATATATGAATACATTAGAATAACTTCAAATTAATTTGTTACTGAAATAGAGTTAAGTAGTTGAGTTTTTTGAGCAATGGAGAGGCTTTTTTCTTATTAACTATTTTAAGACTAACTAAATAGACTGAATAAAAATATTAGGATATCATTTAAATTCGAATCCATTGGAATATTGAAAAGAAATTTGGAACTAAAGACCTAACTATAGTTGCTGATTTTCTTTTATTTATTTTAAGTTCTTTATTTTTATGTGCTTTTTCTTCAAAAAGGCTTGCTCATTCTAGGGTGCACTGCATAACCTGCTTCCCCTGTGTTCACTACTACACTCAAATGATCAATTGTGTAGCTCTCTGCCTCAAACCAAACAATTAGAAAAATTTACTTGACAAGAGATTTTACCCCTGGAAACTAATTTCAAGTTATTTATTTTTTTTACTAATTTCAAGTAATTATTATTAAACTAATTCAAGGAAACTAAGTTTTGAAAACTAATTTCAATAAACTTTGAAAAACACCTATCATTCAAGTTTCGAAAATGAAGAAGTACAAAGTATCAAAAGATTTAAATCTTGTAGCAATTTGATTTTTTTTTAATTTTCTCTCATCAAACAATGTCCAAAAAAATAGGGTTCAAGGATTTATTTAAAAAAAGAAAGATTTTAGTCATTTTTATTCAGTTAAAATATAATAAAATATTTTTTTCGCAGAGAAAGTTGAAAACAACCTGTTATAATTTTATGTTGTCTAGGACAAAAGATAAAGTGTTCAAAACTCCAAATATTTTTTGAATCAAAATATTGTTCAATATACAAAATGGAGTTATTCTATTAGGAAGAATTGTTACTGATTGATTCAATAGAAACTAAATGGATTGTGTTACGCGAAAGGTAAAATTTCTTTAAAAATACCCTCTCAAGAAATTATTCAAATTTCTCCCAATTTACTTGTTGAGGTTGATTACTTGCAGCAGCTATTAAATAATTTGCTGAAGGAATGAGTATATTTATAATCAGTAGTATATTCATTCAGATGATTAACCGCTTCCCTTGATAAAATAAAGATTAAACGCCGTCTATACTTTTACAACAATTAAATTAGCAATAGAAAACAGCACGCAATTTATTAATGACCATTTACGAACTAATAATACTTTTCTCAAATTAAACTGCAACGAAGGAAAAGGGATTCTTTGTTTTTAATTCGTAATCTATTCAGAATACCTGGAGAAACAGGGATCTTAAGAGGTGGATGTTTACGTGAATCGAAGTGATTGCAATGTTTTCCCAACTGGTAACTATTCCTAATGAGGGTTAATTAGACAATGCTCGTGAAATCTGAAATGTGTGTTAATGCATTTTGAATCCTAATAAATGAGCGGTATTCAGCAGTGAAAAATGCTTTTATTTTTTTTCTCCTCTTTCTCGCTATAATGCAGAAAGGGGTAAGAAATAAGAAAATTGCAATGAATTGTTTTGTGAGCCGATTTTCTCCATTATTCTTCGTGATTGATCTTTTGAAAAAGTAATTTTGATTTGTTTTTTTTAACTAACTCATTATTAACTTAAAAAATTAACGTCTTCAAGTGGATACATATTTGTAAGGCTAAATATGGGTTAATTTCTAAAATATCCCTTGGCGCGATATTTATTTACAACGCAACGTTACATTTATAAAATATTAGAATGTAAATATAGTATACATTAAATTTTTTCCCTACATTTCATTAATTGTTGTTGCTTCTAATGCCACTTGCCACACGGGCAAGCCTGCTTGGTCAAACCGAGCAAATTTAAGGCAGAGTGTGCGTTTCTTGTTTTTCAGTTGTCAGCGCCATCCTATGGCCAAGAATTCGTCTTCAGACGCACACACGTCACAGCCCGTTTTATAGGACGGATCCATTCACACGTCCATTCATTCATCCATAGATCGTAATTTTGATCTGAATCAGAGAACGATCGATCTCCAATCCAGTACTCCCAGAGGTATTGATTTGTTATGGGAACATGGAGGACTTTGCGACTCGACAGATTTAACATGCATCAATCACCATTTACTGCACGGGGAGTCTTCGGCCAGCGGGGTTCGATCCCACGAACTCTCGGATATGGGCCCAGTGCCCTACCGACCAGGCTATCAAGGCCTTACATTTCATTAATTAAAATTGATTAATTCCGGTACGATATTCCAAAATTGGCTCGAAGATGTCATTTAATATTGATTTATCAAATTGCTTCATAAAATAAGAATTAAGTTTTACATGATTAAATAACATTCTTTTACTAAATAAATATTAAAAGCGCACTTCTTGTGTAATCACATCTCTTTGAAGGAATCTATATCAATTGTTAATTACAAATTTATATTCATTAGGCCTTAACTAAGAGTATAAGGCACTTTACAGACTCTAAAAGCATATATTTCCGTTCAAAAAATCAGGCATTTCTATTAATTTTTTGTTGAAACTCTTGGTACTCTTATACGCTTATTCCAATTTTTCATTAACCTTAAAAAATTTAATTTTGTTTTGAAAGAAATTCGAAACTGTCTGTTAAGTACAATATTGCATATTGTATTATGCTTTGAACGAATTATATTTATTATATATTTTAACGAATTATTTTTAATATATACGCTCGTTAAATTATTAGATTCTTGTTATAAAATTTTAGTATACAATTTTTAGCCGAAAAATCATGAACAGAAGAGAACATGTAGGTTCGTATAGTGCGCAAAATAAAAGATATCCCTTACGAAAATTTAAGGTATATTTAAAGTTGATTTGAGGAATTTTTGACGTATCGAGGTTGTTTTGATGTATATTTAAGGTTGCTGAGAAAACAGCTATAAAAATTATACCTCGTAAAGGTTGTAATTAAGGTGTACGAGGTTGTTTTTATCTATACTTCAGCTTATTTTGAGGT